CAATCTAGTAGTATCGTGGAGCTGTTACTGTACCATGTTGAACATACGCTATGGAACCGGTCTCACGCTGCTCTTCCGGCGCAGAACGCTTGTCGCTGCCTAGCAACCAACGCCTACACAATATTCAGATCTCCAAAAGTGTCTCCAATTCAAGTAGAGAATCTTCCTCCATGCCATCTCTTGATTTTGCAACCGTCTCAATCCTGACCTGCCCGCTTTAGAGACCTTTAGACGATGTATAGTAAGTTTATGATGCACCCACGTAAACGCTATTGATCCAATACGAGTCGCTTCCATCTTTTACTTCTCATATGGCATCCCTTCATAACGCTCTTCCCCTGGCCGAATCATTACATGATATACCAACCTCTACCCTCGCAAGGTCCTGTCAAATTGATGCCATAATTGGTCTACCTTCTCAGTAACCATGCTCAAATGTGACTTAGTTAGTTCTCGACGAGATGAATTACCCATTAGAGACTCCATGTTTCGACTTTATCCATATATGCCTATCAGACCACCCTGTTGGCCCGACAAGATAAAGGAAATGTAACAGGCTTAGATGCGATGGTCAGCCTTGAGTAGTGACGTGGTTGTCTCAAGGCATATCTAAAAGCGCGAAAGCTTTACTCGAAAGACGAGGGAGTCTCTTTTGCCGAAGAAACATACAGCAGGAAGAACAAAAGACACATTAGGTGACTTATGTGAACAGTGATCTGATATGTTGATCGTGACAAGAGCCACATGATACCTATACATGTGCGCTCTTTCACTACTATCCAATCTCGTGGAGTGAGGCTTGATGCTGGCCATCTCCAGGCTAACACTCACCTACGCAATCTAGTTTAACTTCGATTGGAAAAGTATGCGTCGCATATAAAGGCATGTCTAAACTACCTACACAAAAGCCAATAGTGCGCAGTAGAAAATGTCGTATTCATATGGCATCTTACATGTATCTAGAAACTCTCGAGAAATCTGATGCACCAGCATACCAGAATATATCAACGCTTATGTAACTGTACAGAGCATTGCTAATATATAACAAGCTTTTGCAGGCCTCAACTTCCCAGAATTTACCTTCCATCAAGCAAACTAACTACCTAGCCACTGGGTCAAGCGCGACGAGCTTATGCCGACGGACGGTCTTTTCGTCTTGCGATAGTAGTGCAAGTAAACCGCAAAACTGTGATAACACCCCAAGATCCCATGCCCGCATCCCTCTCTTTCTTTCAGTCTCGTGTATTCACCTCCGACCTGCAACCGTAATCACGATCATACTAATATGATCGTCTGCTTGACGCGATCTTCGAACCACTTCTCTGGTCTTTTCCCATGATTGTTGAAGTTTAGTTGCGAGATGCCCTTTCGCTCATACTTCTCTCCACGCGCCTCGAGAATGATGACACTATAAACTGTGTAGTACGAACTGTGCCCGTAGTCTGTGGCAAATTCTCTGGTGAATGTAAGTGCACACAGTACTGATTTCAAATCGTCCTTTTCTGTATCAGAATCATCCCAATGTATGGGTGACCACGTGTCTTCTGGAGTGGGCAAAACGACGCCGAGAACGCGGTATCCGCCGTCTTCGTCGTACTTGAACTCGACGAACAGTCGAAGGATATATGCGGTCAGAAAAAGCTCATGTGACACTCCTGTAGCGGTTACAGTGCTGTATTGACGATCGCATGGTTCCCAAAGAGCCCATGTACTCGACGACGATATAGGGTGCTGGAATTGGTAGAACCGTTTACTTCCTTCCCATCCAAGAGGAGACCAGCTGGGGAACCCTTGTCGCCTAGTACTGCTCTCTGTATTACGCCAGTAAAGACAAAAGCGAGGATTTGGCGTCTTGTTCGTAGTAGCATCGTCTCCAAATGGGACTGCCCAAACGCTGCCCACTGGATCAGGTTCACTACGGAAGGATTTCAGGATACCAAGCACTGCGTTCAAAGCGTCGGATTGAAAACTGATGTTGCGACTAGAGTACTGTTCCAGAATACCCATTGCCTTCCTCAATGCAGAATCATCCTCTTCGTGGGATATGGGGAAGGTGGATTCGAGTTCGGGTAGGTACGTGTTATCGCCATTTGAGTTGGATTCATTCCTCACAGTCTTGTTACAGACGAACAGAATTTCGTGATCTGTGAAATACAGTCTTCTTCGGGAAAGATACCCTTCTTGAAGAGTCCTGATGTCACGTCAGTCTTCCGATTATACCTTTTGGCATCATGTAGCACGATACTCACCATGCACGAGTAGACCATGTAGAATATCGGATCAGAGAGGTGACTGAAGAGTTTTCAAACTCAAATCTCATAGTCTCGGAGCCAAGGTCAATGTATACGCAAGGGAAGTTACGCTTCCGCCCTACACCGGGTAATCCGCACGTGCAATCTTCGCCAGCCGCTCCAATGAGAGTAATCTGAGCAGAAGCATATATAAGATCCATTTGTTGGATCTGTATATGTTTATCCCTAGAGTCATGCTGTTGCACACACTAGGATGATGGTCAGTCATGAGGGGTATGAGAATGGGTATGTAGCACCTACAAAGTTGTCCACCCAAAGGTACCGATAGCCAAGAAGCAGGGTTGCAGTGATACTGTCCTCGATGGTAGCAGGTAATCTTGTTCCTAACTTAGAGTTCTCTTGCAGAGGCATGTTGCCGGCTTTGCCCCAGACATAGGACAACGCAACATAGTGGCATTTGCCAGGCGCTAGAACAACGATTCTCTGGATACAATCGATCACTCTCAGATCTCGCAGTGATTCTTGCTGCTCAAGCCTGCAACAATCGTGGGAATTTGAGCATTCACCTATCCAGTTTTTCACCCACTCTAAATTAGAGAGTAGGGGAAGTGTGTGAACAGAGGACGGCTTCAAGAGGCGTAAGTCCTTGCCCATACCTTGGTGACTATAGCTGAAGTAAGTGGAACCCGAGCTTCGACGCCATTCGAAGGAGGGTGACTTCGTCTCCCGTGTCCAGTCTCCTATACACCCAGACACCGCTATTCCAATTGCTCGGCAGATTCCGCACGCTGAAGCTTTCATTTCTCTGGAACTATTGTCGAGCTTGAAGGTATCTCTTTCTCGATACCGTTGCCGCACCAAAGACTGGTCCATTGACCCTTCTGCTGCAAGCCGAGCGGCCTCCTCGTTAACAAGGCAATTTTTCATCTTCGAACACATGGCCAGACATCGATCGCAGAGAGTGGTGTATTTGCTGGGAGTATTTGCTTCATCTTCAGAATCGTGGCGCTCGTCTAGTGCGGAAGATTTGTCCATAGCCGATGAGATGGAACCTCAGACAGCGGAAGAAAGCGCGTGAAGTTAGACAGTAGTGGATGCGTCGCTCAAACCGCGCAGTTGCGTCGATATGTTTGGAAGGATTCCTGAAGTGTTTTCAGCTTGAGAACAACCATGAAGAAGAAGGCTGTCGAGAGTACGTTGCAGCAGAAAAGCAAAGCTGCCTCTCTATTACAGCTCATCCTCCCGATAGGCGCAAGTCCACGTGACTCTTATCATACGAATCCAATTGGATAGCTGACTTCTCCCGGCAATAAACACCTGCAGATGTACGACGAATACATTGCGTCAGTCTGCTACAGATACATGAGATCGTGTATCTTCGTCTGTAGTCCAATGTAGGCTAATCGACATGTAAGCGCCGGATGTACCAGTAGACCAAGGCTGGCCCCCAGTACGAAGAAGCTGTATCCTCCAGCCTCGACATCGCGGGTAGAGATTCTCAGTCTACCAGCATCGTGTGGCAAACAACCTTAGGACGGTCGACTGCCAACAGGTAACCCTTTATCGGCTTCTGGGTCAGTCCAAATGTCCCAGTAAACATACTACCTTGACTTCTGATCATGCGACATCAATGCTGCACGCCGCCGACGAAGTGCAAGAAGAGGAAGTTGGCCTGCATCCGCTGCTTCATTGCGCATGCGCCATGAGCTGATCGTGGTTGAGTAATCCAGCTTTTTGATTGCCGCACGCGACAAAGTCATAAGGCTCCTCTCGTTGCGCACGTTGCTGAAGTCGCACGCCGGGGTAAGATGAGAAGAGTTGATGGGCGGCACGTGAACGTTTCGAAAGGGTCTCCCCAGGTCCCATCGTACTAAGTTCTAACCGGATGATATCAGTATAGCGTATGCATTCCCTGGCTTGCAGCGGAGCACATTCCGAGGCACGCGTGCAGGAAGGGCCGACCCACGCCACGCTGACAGACAGGCAGCAGGAGCGAGGGTAGTTCGGTGGATACCTAACTAGGTCAGCATGTCAGTTTGAGACCAACCCACTTTTCCTTCACACCAAATGCACGTGTACGGCACGACCCAATGTGGAGCAAACGTATTTCATTGACGACTTTTCTGCATACAGGCAGCTTTGGGTACACATACACACCCTGTTTTCTAAATCTATGCTTCTCCGGAGAATGATAACACCTTGAAATGCAGTGAATGACGCAGTGAACCGAGTGTGGTCCAAAAAGCAAGTAAACATATACACTGAAGCCAAACATAACCCGCACAGTCTAATCTGCGTTGCACTTCCCGGAGGAAGTTCAGCCGATAATCCCATGAAATTCTGCCTTGTACTGCCGCCGTGCGTAATTGATGAATGGTCCGTTGCCCCTGGCAGATGCAATTGGTGAGGTGATGTGTCTAATGCTTTTTTTGATGATGGGAAAAGAAATCGTGAATACCGCCGTGTGTGATTCGTGACGCCTTGCATGCCGGTTGGCCGCAAGGCTGGCTCCGGGAACTCCGATGAGAATGCATCGCCCAGCTGAGTTCGACTCGTGCTGGGCGAGTTTGCTGAAATTTTAATGAGTCTAATGGTTTCGATGGTAGAGTGATGTAGATCTCGATGATAAAGTGATGATACTTTGTTGTGGAGCTGTACTGTCGCATGTACATGGAGTTTGGATTGATCCTGATGATGCTTGAGGACCGTTTCTGGCAATGGAGTAGGAATGAGCAAAAGTGGTGGCGCTCAGATTTCGTCGAGAGGCGTGAAAAGACGTTTCATGTTTAGCGTCAAGTCGGCGATGGCGTAGTCGTCAGCGATAGCAACCATGGAGCCGATCTCGATGCCTTTCTGGGCGGAGTCTGATGCAACGTAATGTCTGATCTGTTTCAGGAGATTGAACACATGCCGGCACCGAACATCCGCAGGAGCGGCCCAGTCGTCTGGTCGAGACTGCCGCAAGAACGCTTGAGCTAGGAAGTAAAAGTGGATGCCGTCTCGGCAGAATCCACGTCGACGCTGGTTCTGTGTGAACTGGATAGCAAGGTCCTTGTCCCAGCAAGCCTTCCATAGCGAAAGCGCGCCGACCGTCGAACGGAGCTTATTTTGGATTTGCTCATTGACGCCATTTGGTGGTGTGGCAGGACTATCGCCTTGCGATCGGGGTGTGCTTGTACCGCTTGAAGACACTCGCTGAAGCAGCTGATGCTGGATGTTGTAGATTTGCGCATGAATCGCGTGAATGAGAACTGGAGACGACGTTAGAGGGCTGTAGTTGACCGCAGACAGAGAAAACTTACTGAATTTTCCAAAGACATTAGTAGCCCGCTCAGGAAATTTTCCTGGACAGGCTCCGTTGAGTACACACAACGCCTCGCACAAGGCTAGTTGTTTTGCGCGTCTGCTTCCCGATTCGTTGCTCATCTGCGCTGACGATCCTCTCAGACCCAGAGCACTGGCGCATTCTTCAGAAGTCTTCGCTTCCCAGGCTGCATCATCGGCCGGCAGAGGGACTGTGATGCTCTTGGCGTCGAACCTGGGCTGTGTGTTGAAGAATATGGTGGAAGAAGCATCGATAAGATAAATGTATGCCGCCAATCGAGTTCGCTTTTCATTCTCAATCCAAGAGTTCCAGTTCCACAAGTCCACCTCTGCACCTGTTATTGGTCCAGATTGGTGCAACGCGCTCGCATTCGGATTGTCCTGAGGAAGAGGTTGGAATAGTGCCGCACAACGTGTAATGTTGACCACTGTCCGCACCTCATCTCGCACTTGTTGACGTTGTTGCTGGGACCCGTGCCATAGGAACTGAGAGTGAAGGAGGACTAGTGCTTGTATCTCCTCGGTAGTCGCAGTCAGCTGATGGTTCAAATCAGCCATCTGGTGCGCCTGCGCCAGTTCGTGAACATGACTAGATTTCAGCATGCTCTCTCGCACACGATCCATCAGCCATCGGACATCCGAAGGGCGCATTCGATCAGAATACACGGCGCCAACACAGCACATCGCCAGAACAAGCCCAGGGTTGGCGGAAAACGGATCAAATGTTGCAACGTGTATCAAAGGCCAGTGTGATTGATAGTGTCTGTATTGGTGTAGGAAATCCTTTACGTTGTCTCCAGTCAAGATAGTCTTCAGCCTTTCGTGAGCGTACGCCTCGTCTGATTGTTGATTTGAAAGTAAAGACGCATTCGGAAAGCAAAAGTTGAAAAGCGATTGTGCCAGGTTGTGCAGAGGATCAGACGTGGATTGGCCAATAAACCAGTTGTCAAGCATCGGGGAAGAGTCGGCCAAACTGGGAACATGCGAGTATAGTCCAAACAAAGTATCATGTGGTGTATCATCTGAGGTCTAAAAGTTCCGGTCAGAACTGGGCCGATTTTTGAAAGGTTGGGCCACCTGCCGTACTGGAATTATTCATATCGCCGTTGAACGATCCGTTTCGCCAAAGTGAGCCATCCTGGCCGTTGGTCATGCCGTCCACGTTGGGCAGGGTCGATGCTCCTCCGTACGAAGCTGGGTCCGCGGCCTCACTCTTAACGGTCATGCCATTCTGTGCCATCGAACCGTTGGTGGAGGCGTGGTCATAGTTGTTGTAATGGGAGTTGGGGTCGGATCCGTTGGCTGCAGGCTGAGTCTGCTGTTGCTGCTGCTGTTGCGCGTAGCCATTGGCGAGACCGTCGGGCCGGTAGTCGTTGAAGTTCATCCTGTTGTTCGCGAAGTCCATGGCCGACATGCTCCTACGATGCGCGCTGTCCTCTACTCCACTGCTGGGGCGCATCAAGCTGTTAGAGCGAGATGTGCGCGCCGACATGGACTGGTGATGGTTGGCAAGCGAAGGTAGGCTGTCGTTGAAGCCATTGCCGCCCATCGCCGGCATCTGAGGCAAGCCCATGGTGTAGCCACCAGCATCTGCGTAAGACATGGAATTCGCGCCAATGTGGTTGAGGTACGAGTTCTGGTCCGCGCCGCTGGGCTGCCTGTTCTTCTGCAGATGTTGTTGCGCGTGCTGGAGGTGGTTCGCGCCGGTTGGGTTACCCCTTCGTATTGAGCACTTTTGGAAGTGACGCTTCAGGATGTCGCTTCTGCTAAAAGTGTCCTTGCAGAGATGGCATTGGTAGGGCCGCTCGCCGGTGTCTGTGTAATGTTAGAAGCGGAGCGCGGTTATGTGGAGGCTAAACTTACGGCGCAACAGATGACGCTTGAGATGCTTCAGGTGCAGGTACGTCTTGTTGCAGTGAGGACACTCGTATTTGCCCTCGGCATTCTTGGTGGCAGTTGTGGGAGTCTTGCCTGCAGCGGGTGCGGGCCTACCGGGGTGCGTGGGCAAGACTCCGCGACGACCTTGCTGACCGACGACGTGAACGGGTTCGGGCTCCTGGTTGGGGAGTACGGGAGGGTGGGCGTACATGGACGTGTGTCCCAGTCCCATGCCAGGAGGGCCGCCGAGCTGGTGGCCGTTGGTATGCGCAGATGCTGTGGACAGCATAGGCGCCTGCGAATAAGCCGACGACATGGGCATGTACGAACTCGGCGTGGGCTGGAGGGGTCGCAGCGGCGGGTGCTGCAGCGGAGGCATGGTAGAACTGCCATTGGCGGCCGAGGTCACAGGCGTGTGCGGCGGCTGGGGCGTGTGAGGGTTGCTATTGTGGCTGTACATGGGCGCGTACTGGCTGGCGCTCTGTAGAGGCGGCAGGGTGGGCAGCTGGTTGTTGTTGCCATTGTACTGCTGCTGGCCTATTGATGGGTAGCTATTGAGGCCAGGCTGACGGAAGCGGTCTGTGGAATCCATAGTGAAGTTATTGGTGGGTCGAGGGTGAGTGAAGTGATGGGAAAGGCGCGACCAATTGTTAGTCGTGAAGGGACCATTCGACGGAGCTTAGGGCGGAGTAACGTGTGCAAGGCTGGCTAAGCACACCACGAGGGCCGTTAGACGGACGTCGGGATGGAGGAACGATGGGCCACGAAGAAGCTTTACAGGTGGAGCCGTGTGGGGGACTGAGATGGCCAGTCGATACGCGTCGGCGGGTACTCCACGGGTGAGGTGGAATTGGGGAGCCCGCAGTGGGTGAGACGACGAGGTGATGGGTAAGAGGGGCGGCGATGTGGAATGGAAGAGTTTACCGGCGACGATGGGTTTCTCGTAGCTGGACTAGCAAGAAAGTTGCGTCGGTGGTTTGCCTGGCTCGCGCGGCAATTCACGCGAAGGGACAAGGGACCTGCTGCAGATCGGCGGCCCACACACCCTTCAGCCTCAGCCGATTGATTGCGGATAGACCAAGTGGAGAGCTGTAAGCACGAGACAGGTACGGTAGACCCACGACAGGAGTGAGGGCTGTTGGGGAGCTTTGGGGGAGGGGAGAAGGTGGCTCGGGGTAGAGATAGCGGTCGGCGAAAAAAATATGCGAGTTCTGCTGCGAGAAGTGCCCGTCTTCCGCACCGCGTAATTCCTGTTTCCGCGCTGCTGAATGCCGGAGCTTGCCGGACGTTGATAGCGAGCAGATATGGCTTGTCAAGAATAATGTGGGTGGCAGATACTGTGAGGAGGCAGGGGAGGCGTCGGACGCGCAAGAGATTTCTGAACAAGGTCTGTCGCGGCAAGCGCGTCGGGGTGCCTGTGCAGCGACGTTACAGACTTAGGGCGGGAATAGTAGGTGAGGACAGTGGGAGAGATGCAGGACCATCTCGAGACCCCGACTACGCCTAGGGACTAGGGACTCGGACGCGGCACGTGATGACCGAGACTGATGACTTTTCGCATACGTGAGATGTTCGTATTGTGTGCACTGCATTGGAGCGCGTATGCGCCGCCCGTTGGAAAAAACTATTACCAATGACGACAGCCGTTCGTGGGCTAACGGGCCAGGACCCAATTGCATGCACATGCACAGATGCCTTAGATTCCTAGTCTACGCGCTGGCCGGGGCCCTTGAGTCGTGCCCACCTCCGAAGCTGGGTGCGTGTATCGATGCGTATCATAGCCCTCCCGTATGTCCCCCGACCTCGTCCATTACCATGGCCCAGGAGTTTCAACCACGCCACGGCGCGGCAATCGATAAGGGCAAGAGCCTCATTCCACCATCGCCCGCACCGTCTTGGGCGGTTTCACTTTCCAGAACCCCCATTCCCATGGTACCTCCCAGTTGCTCGTACGTACTGTCGGCGCGCCTTAGTCTGCGTGACTTGTCAGAGCCACCGGATCGGTAAGGCCAGCGAGCGCGAGCAAGCAACTCATCCGAGCATCGACCCGACAAAGGCCGAGCTTCACGTCGCGTTGGCGGCTGTGGCTTGCTGGGGTGTTATATCCGTCCATGAAACCAAGCGCACCCGACGAGCTCCAAGCCCCAGAAATGTTTCCGCGCAGCTCTGCCAGCGCGTCCCGTGGTCGCAACCCTCTGCTCCATGTCTCTCAGCTCTCTCCGAGCCGTCGCTGGCGGGAGCGCTGGGCCAGTGGCCGTTGGCAGGCGCCGAGCGTGAGGTGAAAAGTTTCGTGAGCGTGACGTATGGCTACCCGCAAGCAGCTAGCGCGCAGCTGGGATCCCTTGACGGCAGATTGCAACGGCGTCCGCCAAATCTTCGGCTCGCCAGATCCTTCGGCTGTGCGACCCTCGAATGAAACCTCACGTCTTGAAACAGCTCTGCGGAATGGATGCGCTGGAAGGTCGAGGCGCCGGGCATTCAAATCGAAACAACACACGCTGCAGCTCCAGAGACGACAGCAATGCGCGACGTCTTGTTGGCCGCGATCGCCCAAGGCGAATATTGTTGAATGCCTCTCGTCCACTCAGCTTACGTATCGCGACTTGGAACGCCGCTAGCGTCTTCTATCACGATGCCGCTCGGCCTCGAAGCTGACGGTGAAGGACGCTCAATGCGGCATACCGCGTGCTGCTGCTGACTCGATTACAGCACCAAAAGTGACACGCATCCAATGCCTGCCAGCTCAACTCCTTCATAACTGCGCACCCTCTGCCCTAGTCCGCTCTTGTGCTGCCGTGCATATCCTGCATCTGTCTGCCTCTTTTCGAACGCGCAATATGTTGTCAAGAGATTGTGTGCACAAAGTCTTGCCGTGACCGTCGCTTGAGAGCATCCGATCTTGACGTTGCATGCTTGGCAAAGTACAACGCAACCTTTTGCGGAAGAATTTGCCGAGGCTTTAGAGTGCAAGGTGATGGAAGAGAAATTTTCCTCGGCAAGCGGCATGCTGTCACAGAGACCGATGGCGCGATGCTTTGTAGTTGAGCTTAGACGGGCGTCGTGGCTTGCCAGAGTGCCGTTAGATGCAGATGAGCCAACCCCCCCCACGTGTTGTGCGCTATCCCACATCGCTCTTGTGTATCAAACTCCCGGCATGCCAGCAATTCTTGCAGCTTGCGCCATGCCATCCGATGCGACACCGTGCGCTCAATCGCTCTCAGGGTTTCGACGGCACCCCTAGGCGTGCTAGGTGGCCGCATCTGCGCTCCCTGAACGCGCAATGCTCCTGGAATGCGCACACTGCCCACACGCTCTGCATCGTGGAAGTTGGAATAAGCTCCAGTCCCACTTGCGGTTGCGCTCCCGAATCTGGGTGTGGATGATACCCGAAGGTGGGCATCAAAGTGGGCTGTCCGCTTGACGCGCTGCAGTGATTCCCAAGACGGCAAGACCAGCGACATACAGGCGGGATGTCTATGTCGTGCAGCAGGCTCTGACCCGCCGTGGCTTGACCGTCATGCACTCGATGAGTTTCAACCTCCTGTCTTGTGAGGTCACGCCGCCGAGAGAAAGACCGGTGAGGCGCTGGGACAGGCTTCCGACGTCAAGATAGCGTATCATACAAGTCATGGAACCAGGGTCCTTGACCGGATGAACTTGGGACTGTCCGCCGACTTTGCGTAGGCGGAAGTGCAGTTCCGAAGCGTAGCTGCGCTTGGCTTCGACGCGCATATGACTCGATGCGAAGCCAGGAGCAAGGCGCAGGCTGGTTCGCAACAAGGCGAGGATGCCCACTGAAACACAGCGTTGTAATCATCGTGGTATGTCTGCTGGCGCTACGGCAATGCTGTAATTGCAGACATTGTGAGTTTGGTAGGCGCGACTCCAGTGGCGGTATCTAGGTACTGATCCCATCTCTTTCTCTCATCATTACCGTGCATGAGCGATTTGAGAAACATGGCTCTCAGAGCCATAATTTGATGTGCTTCGGAGTTTGGGCGTGGTAGGAGAAATTCCTGAATCCTGATGGTCACGTTGCAGGCCCTTGTGTACCAGAGGCATTGCCTGCCTTGCTGTGGAGCGCCACGGTACCCAGGTACCACCTTTGGTGCACTCGATGCTCAACATTTCATCGAACAAAAGAATGTAAGGTTGGGATATAGGGATACATATGTATTTAGGTACAGCTGATATCGAAAAAACTGGATCGATTGCGGAGACGTACATGCTTGGTGGCGCTTGCTCTAGTAGGCAGGCATGGTAGGATGCGACAACCTAGGTAGGCTTGAGCATACATATACGCAGTGGTGGCCTGCATCTTGCTCGTTTGTATCGCTCGAAAATTCTGGACAATGTGTGCCATCGATCCGATTGTGTCCAATCTAATGTCACAGGTTTTGTGCGCCTTGATGAAGTTGGCCGGCTGGCTCACCTTGTGTAGCCGTCTGTAGCAAGATGCCGACAATTGTCTTTGCTGCAGTGTGCGACTTGAAGTTCGTCGCATTGCTTCCTGTAGCTGTAGTAGTGAGCCGGCTACTACGAGCCATAAATGTTGTGGTGAGCCGCACCGCAAAAGTGCGTTGCAGAGGTCTTCCTGCCCGGGCATGCGAAATACGTGAAAATCCAGACAACGGGAAACTGGCACTTCGGAGGTTGCGATCATGTTTGTATGGGTGTGTTATGATACTCGATAACTTACACTATATTCTCATGGTGTTTTCATGTGATTTCCAGTGATGTGTGCAATACGTGATTATTTTTCAATGTTTAGAGGTTTCTAGAATTGACGAATGTAGCTTCTCCAATCATCGCAACACCCAACGGCTGTACTAATAAACGCACTCTCGACTTTGTCTCCCGAAGATCAAAACACTCCATGAGAACAACAAGAGCTCTAGCACAAGCTTTACGTGCCCACACAACTGCGTTCCGCCGTCCACAAAACTACTGCATCCACGTTCCCCACCTACAAGTACGCGCGATGTCAGACTCCACCAACTCAGCAAATCCCCCTACTCCACAGGATCCTCAGGATCAGACGTCGCAAGAATCCAACAAAACCCCACTACCTCTTCCGGCACCTACGGCTGATGAGGGTACCACGCAGATCAACGTCGGTGGGCAAGCGGTCAAGCTGGATCATCTGGGCCCTCTGGTAGTGAACAAGGATGGCACATTGTCGCGCATCGCAAATTGGGAGCAGATGGCGGACATCGAAAAGCAGAACACTTTGAGGATTTTGGTGAAACGAAACCAATTGAGGACAGAGGCTTTGAAGGAGAAAGCGGATGGAGAGGGAGACGGGGCTTGATTGAAAGCATGGGTCACGGGCGGAAACACATGTACATGTCTCGTGTAGAAGGTGGTTGTAACTTCATCTACAAAATGTGATGTTTCTTCTTCTACTATCTATGTCCTTGGTCGAAACACGCGGCTCTATGGCTTCTGGGTCTTTGTGTGTGTCATACGCTCGAAGTAAGACCATTGGCCTTCTGGCGCCGGCTCCTCGAGTGGCTCCCAACTGTGGCGGGTTAGCTGTGGTATGAGTAGTCAGGAAGAAGTCTACTTACACCTTGGCCTCGACCATGACGTCCACAAGCTTATGTTCGCCCTCAGCAACCTGGATGACTTCTTCAATCAATCCTGCGCCAATTCTGCTCTCAAGTTCCGAGATGCTGTACATGTTAGCCACGGATACATTATTGACTACGGCTCATGTATGACATACGCTTCGGCAGTGTATTGCGGCTCAGGGTCGAACTTGACATCGGCGACTGCCCGCTCGGGCGTGTAGTTGACATCGCCCTTCATCTTCTTGGCATGGGGCAAGCGCTCTTTCGAGGACCGAATGCCCTCGGGGAAGGTCTCGACGGCCTCACCGTCCCACTCAGCAGCCTTTGACCGCTCATCGACCTCGTGCTGGGTTGGGAGTATAATGGTCTGTCCGCCTGTTGTGTCGATGGCCTGATATCTTGTCGGGTCCTGGCTGACTTGCTGCGCGACCTTTTGCTGCCACTCATCCCATCCTGCTGGCGTAGCCTGCTCGATGACGGCTAGGCGGTGCTTAGTGAGGGCCTCGGTCGATTGGCGGTATACGGAGGATTCGGGAATCTTCTTCAGCTTGTCGAGGGTGGAGTGGTAGTGGTAGAGGAGGGTGGAGCGCGGCGACGGGTGGGTGAGCAGGCCTGTGAGACCCGTGGGTGTGCCGGCCTCGAGGAACTGGCCGGGCTTGACGCTGGCGAGGAGACGTGCAGCTGCCCTCATGTTGGCGGGAGTGTGCGAGGTGGGGCGGGGGCGCAATTGGTGCTTCGCAGTGGTGATGCCGTCAGGACGAAGATGCGCCCGCCAAGCGATATGCAGCCGGAGCGGCGGGCCCTGGCTAGTAAGCGTCCCATGGCTCAGGGACAATGCGCCCTGGAGACACGATTACCCTCATTCACGCGCGACGTCCCCTCCGCCACGCCTGCGTGATACACAGGCTCGCTGTAATTCCTACAATCTCTACCAATCGCGCCCCCGATACGCAACAACTTCCTTGTCCCCTCGCGTGCGGACCGCTGCCTCACACGAGCAGCCCGCCCCTCAGCCATCGCCGCGATGCGCTCCATATTATATTCCCTCCTGTCGCTGGCGACGTTTGCTTCCACACTTGCGGCCGACACGTCGAGTGCCCAGGCGACCGCCAAGAAGGATGACTGGGACGACAAGACGCCAGACACAATATTCAACGGCGAGACAGTGCCGCCCATGATAGAACTTGGGCCTGCCACCATAGACACCGAGATCAGCAAAGGCAACTGGTATGGAGACAGCTGTAGATAATTCACGGTATACTGACATTCTGCAGGATAGTAGAGTTCTTCTCGCCCTACTGCAGCCATTGCATGCACTTCAAGCCCACCTACCAGACCATCTACGAATTCTACTACACCTCGAAACCCTTTCTCTCAAAAGACGAACCCGAGGGCGATTCCCTGAACTCCTTCACCCGATACTATGACTTCAAGTTTGCCAAGGTCGACTGCGTCGCATACGCCGATATCTGCAAGAAGCACAACATCCAGAGCTATCCGTCCATGATCTACTTTCAGGACGGCAAAGAGATGGAAAGAGAGACAGGCTCCAAGGACATGAAGGGCATGAGTTCCTGGGTAGAGCGACTTCTGGAGACTCTCCGACCGGGTACACGCAAGGAGGGAGGTCCCAAGCTCCCCAAAGTTGGCGCAACATCTGTAGAAACTGGCCCGGAAACGGAGGAGGCTGTCAAGGAAGAGAAGAAGTCGGAAGCCCAAGACAAGAAGGCAGCGAGCCCAGCCACCAACCTAGCCGCCGGCGCCACACCTTCAGCTTCGCAAACGACCAAGGCTGCGCCTGCAAAGATTGAGCCCACCTCGAATGCGAACCCGTCCGGCATCGTCGAGCACCTTACCGCCGAGACGTTCGAGAAGCTCGTTACAAATACACGCGATCCCTGGTTTGTCAAGTTCTACGCGCCATGGTGCCACCACTGCCAGGCTCTTGCGCCGACATGGGCGAACCTTGCGCGACAGATGAAGGGCAAGCTCAACATTGGTGAGGTTGACTGCGATGTGGAGAGGAAGTTGTGCAAGGAGGCCCGTGTTCGAGGCTACCCGACTATGCTCTTCTTTCAAGGTGGCGAGCGCATTGAGTATGGAGGTCTCCGTGGACTTGGTGATCTGCTTGACTACGCGGAGAAGGCCTCGGCGATCGGTTCTGGCGTGCCTGATGTGAACGCTGAAGAGTTCAAGAAGATGGAGGAGACGGAAGAAGTCATCTTCACCTATTTCTACGACCACGCAACCACCTCGGAAGACTTTCAGGCACTCGAGCGGCTTCCTCTCAGCCTTGTAGGCCGCGCAAAGTTGGTCAAGACAAATGACAAGGAGCTCTTTGACCGCTTCAAGATTTCCACTTGGCCAAGATTAATGGTCTCAAGAGACGGAAAGCCTACGTACTACCCACCCAGGACACCATTCGAAATGCGCGACGTCAAGAAGGTCCTCACCTGGATGAAATCTGTTTGGTTGCCCATCGTCCCAGAGATGACATCTACCAATGCCCGCGAGATCATGGATGGCAAGTTTGTTGTTCTTGGTATACTGAACCGCGACCGTTCCGACGAGTTCATCCTCTCTAAGCGTGAGTTGAAGAGCGCGGCTCTTGAGTGGATTGACAAGCAGGACACTGCCTACCAGCTTGAGCGACAGGAGCTTCGCGACGCGAAGCAACTGCGCATTGAAGAAGCCGAGGACAAGGATAACCAGCGAGCACTCAGAGATGCGAAATCCATCCGAATCAACATGGATGATATCCAGCGCACTCAAGTCGCATTCGCATGGGTTGACGGTATCTTCTGGGAACGCTGGATCCGGACCACATACGGTGTCGATGTCAAGGACGGCGAGAGCGTCATCATCAATGATGAAGATGTAAGTCACTCGGGTTCGCTCACACGTATCTTGCTAACACGTATAGAACCGTCGCTACTGGGATAGCACCGTATCCGGCGAACCTATCCGCCTCTCTCGCGCCGCAATCCTGGAAACTATCAAGATGGTTACCTCGAACCCGCCCAAGATTGCCGCCAAATCTACCACTGGTCGCATTACTGGCATGTACCTCTCCACTCGTCACTTTATCAACAACCATCCCTTCATCTCGCTCGGCATGTTCGTCGGTTTCTTCACTGCCGCGACACTATTCGGCAACAGCAGGCGGAAGAGAAGGTTTGGAAATACCGGCGCGTACTTCCAGCTGGGAGAGAAAGATGGCTTACTGGGCGGCATGGGTAACGGCAACTTTGGAGGCGCGAAGCACGATTAAGCTCTGAGATAAGACCACAGGATGACTGTTGGGTGGTTCGGCGTTTTCTTTGGCATGTAGCATAGTCACGATTGGTTCTGATAGCGATAGCGGTTATTCATCTCGCGTCTTGTATTAATACAAACTGTTGTTATCTGCACTGCAATGGTCAAAGTGTGCGCCTGTACATGCCCGGACGATATCACGACATTTCCAAGCTTTTGACGTGCTACGGCAAAACCACATGGAGGTCTAGAGCGTATGCCATCATAACCAAGCATGTCACTTGCAGCTGGCCATTGGGTGGAGCACACACGTGTCTACGCGACGTAGCTCCCCACGCGTACCCCACCACCCCTCCAACTCACTTTCACGCATTCTACGCTCTGCAACTCGGGTACACGTCCCGCCCTTGACAATCGTCCGCTCCTTTACAACTTCCACGCTGCATTCTCTCAAGTTTCTCCGCGCAGCGAGATCGTGCCATCAGCATCCTGCTGCGATCCAAGCACGAGCATTTCTCCTCCGCCGATTACCTCACACATCCGCCCGCACAATGTCGACGATATCCCTTTCGGATCTCGAATTCGTGACTCGCGAGTCTCTCGCCAGCGACTTCAAATCCTCCGGCAAATCGCTGCCTGAAAACACTGCAGTCATCGACGTGAGAAAACACTCCTACACGAACCTTTCCCTGATATATACAAGACTGACCATGCGCCCTCGATCTAGGTACGAGACAGCGATCACGTCGGCGGTCACATCAAAGGCTCAACCTGGGTCCCTTCGTCGCAACTCGATTACAAAACTCCCGAGCTGATCCGCACACTACAAGACAAGGAAGTCGTCATCTTCCACTGCGCGTTATCGCAGCAACGGGGTCCCAGTGCGGCATTGAGATATCTGAGAGAGAAGGAGAGATTGGATCCGGCCTCTAAGGTGGAATCAAAGGGCGAGGTTGAGGAACAGAGTGGAGCGGTTGATAAGGAAGAAGGGGGGAAAGGACCTAGCGGGACACAGGTCAAGAAGCAAAAGGTCTATGTGCTTCAGGGAGGCTTCACGATGTGGCAGGAGAAGTATGGGCAGGATAAGGATTTGACGGAGGGGTATGAGAAGGATATTTGGGAGTTTGGTACGCCGGATCATTAGACGGCGGATGTGTGCTATCGCGTGAGAGGACTCGCCATGTGTAAGAAGATTATAACATCGAGCGTGACATCAACAATGATATTCTACAACAAAAATGAACTATCCATGAATACCCTAACAGCCCTTCGCGTCGGCTTGATCCTTGACCAACCCCGCGTAGTTCTGCTTCTCATAGTCCATGATGGCCTGTACCTTCTTCGCACTCGCACTGCCCTTGTCAAACCGATATCCGACCCACTCCTTCACTAACCGCCTGGCGAGTTCAATGCCAATAACTCGCTCACCCATGCAAAGCACCTGCGCATCATTCGACAAAATGGCGCGCTCCACAGAGAAGGAGTCATGTGCCGTTACAGCCCTAATGCCAGGCACCTTGTTCGCAGAGATGGCGACACCGAGACCAGTGCCGCAGATGAGAACTGCGCGGTCTGCCTTGCCTTCTGCGACAAGCTTGGCAGCATCAACGGCGATGTGTGGGTACGCGGTCTTGTCGCTGTTTTCAGGTACGCCAACGTCGGTCACGGAGGCGATGCGCGAGTCGGCTTCGAGATCTTTGATGATGGCTTTCTTGTACGAGACGCCCGCGTCGTCGCAGCCAATGGCTATGCGGAGGGGTTGCTGGTCTGATGACATGGTGGGTGCTGATATAGTACGCGTTGCGTGGGTGTAGGGAAGTTCTCAAAGTTCAGAAGTGTCGTACTTCTTCTCGATGTTCCTTCTTTTCGTCTTGCTGACAACGTTCAAACGGCTTCGATCGCGTTCTTCTTCGTCGTCTTGGTTTCTTGTTCCACCACTTCGTCGTTCCGTTCTGTTTGTCGAATACGATACGTGACCCTCTGCGGAATGTACTTTCCGTCCGCTTCCTTCAATGACCTCGTTGACCGCGCGATTGACTGTCTTCTCAAACGGTTTCGTCACGTAGCTCAGATCCGTATGTCCGTGTGTCGGCCCTTTGCTTTCAATGACTTTAACTCTATCTGTACCGTCCTTGCTGTGGTCTTCGACTTTCTGGTACACGTGGTCGGCGTCGGTATCGAGGTTTAGAGAGAACAAAGCGCGCTTGGGAGGGGCCATTTTCGGCGGCCGGGAGGAGGCAACGTGTTATATACGATTCGCGACAGTGGTTGGCAAAGGCAGGGGGCGCTGGGTCGGCGGTTCGGTTGAATGAGGGGTTAAACAGACGCCGTGACGCCGCAGAGGATGTGAGCTAGAATCTGGATTGCGGGATGCGGGGATCGGGAGTGCCGGATGCGGTATGCCGGTGGGGTATGAATGACAGGTTGCCTCGACGCGAGATGGTGACGGGGTGAGGTAGGCCGGTCTCGGTGATGCAAGGCCGAAGTTCTGATGTTCTGTTTCGGTGTTTGCTCCGACGGCTGGAAGTGATGGAAGTGTGATAGTCATGAGCTGTTGGTGTGCCGATGTCGATAGACTTCTTGGCATGAGATACATAGCGACACCACAAGTCAATAACAAATTTACTTTCATTTGCACTTGTACAATTTTCACATGTAGCTTTTACATATGTTTACATCACTGTAGCTATTTTTTACTTCTTGATGATTGCACCCGTCTCTACTTCTTCTCCTCTCCAAAAAGATCCTTCTCTACCATCTGCCTACAGATCGGATGGTAAAAGTCCTTGTTCTTCTCAAACGTGCTGACCGCCAAGTCGCGATCCGCCTCATTCAAGAGCCTGAACATGGGCCGGACAAACTTCATACGCCCAATCTTGCCCAACAATGTTGCTGCAGGCTCGTAAGTCTCCTGTGCCTTGGCCATGAGCCCGATGTTGAGGTAGCGAGACAGAACCTCAATGTTCTGAGTGTCGTTGTAGCCATAAGTCGCACCGAGCAGGTGTACCTTGTCGGCTGAGAATTTCGAAGCGAAAGACTGAAGCTTCTCGAGGAAGACCACAGACTGGTTTGACACCCAGCCTTCGATGTCAGAGGCTTGGGGCTTGAAGTCGTTGGATTCGGAGGAGATCAAAGCCTGCCATTTGTCTGCGAGTTCGTAGCAGCTCTTCACCATAGTCTGGTCAAAGTCTGGCTTGACAGGGAATCCCGGTGCGTAGAACAGTTTGTCCCAGTCGAAGTTGTCCAGCTTCTGCTTGCTCTCTGCGTCTTTCTCGAAGAACTCTAGGAGGCAACTCTTAAAGTCGTACGAGTCGACAGACTTGAATTTGAAAGTGTCGAAGTAATGGGGGATGAAGGAATCCCACTTCTTCTTTCCGAGAAGCAGCTCGAATTGGTAAAGGGCGTGAAAACCTTTCTCGTACGGGATGGAAGAGAAGGCGTCATCAGGGTCTTGGCCCTTGAGATCGAGAACAAGTTTAGTGTAGGGGTGGTCTTCGCCGTAGTTCTCGATGCTTTGCTCCAGAGCTTTCCAACCAATGATGGCAGAGAAGTGGCGATGTGCCTCTCCGTGAAGAGCAGCAGCGATCCTGCGTTCCAGGTACGTAGTCCAGCCTTCGTTCAGCCAAAAGTGCTCCCAGCTTGCTGCGCTGACCAGATTGCCGGACCATGAATGTGACAGCTCATGTGCGATGACGTCGACGTTTTGCTTGTCGCCAGAGATAATAGAGGGAGTGGCGTAAGTCCAAACCGGGTTCTCCATGCCGCCGTACGGGAATGAAGGCGGCAGAATGAGCACATTATACTGACCCCACTGGTAGGCGGGCGAAACGATAGATTCAAGTGCTTTCATGAAAGGCTCGATCTCGCCGTCAAGCTCGTCTTTGCAGGCAAGGAGCTCTTCAGGACCAGACCATACCGTACTGCGGGGGCCGATGCTTGCGCACGCTAGATCTCCACTCGCGACAGCGAAGAGGTAGACAGTCATGGGGACCTTTTGCTCAAATGTGTACTTCATGGTACCGCTCTCACCATCCTTCTTCGGGGGCAGGTAATCGCTTGCCCCGGTAGGCAGACCTGAAGCAAGCACCGGTAGGGGCGAGCGGAGAGCAAAGCTGAATGTCGATTTGACATCTGGAGTGTCCTGACAAGGGAAGACTGAACGTGCATGGATGGCCTGGCATTGCGAGAACATGTAGGGGTGCTTCTTGTTGGAGGTCTGAGCGGGAGTCATCCACTGAAGCGCGGTACACTTATCAGTGGTTGCGACCTTGATCTCTACATCAATAGTCTTGCCTTTGGGAACCTTGGAGGGAAGAGTGATGGTAAGAGGGCTGCCATAGGGTTCCACGCGATCTCCTACGTTGAACTTGACGCTTTTGCCCTCGACTTCTACAACGGAGATATCAAGAAAGCTAGATTTATTTAGTAAAGCATTTCAAGCATTAATTCTTGCAGAGAATGTGTACATACCTGCTGTCCAACACAACATCTTTCACATCCTCATCTGTCAAGCACTCCAACGTCAGCACCACACTTCCAAACAACCTCTTCTTCTGGAAGTCGATGTCGAAGTCTACACTAGTATGCCGTGTCACAAAGTTGTGATAGTTGGACAAAGTGTTGGGATCTCTGGGAGTGCGAATCTCGATGTTTGGGTCCGCCATCGGTTTCGTTAACATGGCGGCGGGGGAGCGATGCATCGTGGCGAATGCGGCTGTTCTCGTAACCGAAGGTGTGAGAGGCCGACTTATGCTTGAATATTGCTTGGCGTATTGTCTTCCAGTCAAGGTTGGTGTTGATGAAAGACGGACGTCTTGGAAGAGAAACGTTGCAGGTGATCGCGTGGTTTGGAGGTATCGTCGGAGTGGAGCAGCTTCGTATGCCGATCTATGCCGCAGCAGAGCAGATGACCACCTGCCTAATGCGCTTCTGGCGGACATCTAGATATATCGCTCTCGCAATCCGAGTAGATAATGGGAAACAACCTCACAGCGACAGTGGCGCGATAAGTCACCGCCTGTCTAGTCCGGATCCAATGTGGAGGTGCACGGCCTTCGGCGATCCGACGAAGAGCTTTGTTGTAGTTCTTCCGAATAGTCTTCGCAACCAACATACCAGCAACAAAACCGGGCATAAGGAGCAAGTCACCCAAATCTGTGAACATGGACATGAGGTTGTGAATGATATATTGTAAATGCCCTGGAATGCCAAACGCTTCGATACCCAAAGCAAGCCAACATGCTGTGCACGTGTTGCTACCCACACCTTTACACCTTATTCACACAATGCTGTCTAATCCTTCTTGCTGCCTTCCCCTTTCCGCGTCCTATCTCTCAGGACGAGATTGATGTCTGGTCGTGCTGACTGATACTGCTGTGCTGGCCTCGATACTGAGCGCTCATTCGTCGACGCAAGCGTCTCCTCTGCCCTCGATCTGCCCCTGTCCCTTTCGTCATCTCCAATCTCAAAGGCATCATCTTGGAGTTCTATGAGGTCGCCCAAATCACCGCCGACAGCTCCCAGGACAGGTACGGCACTGCGTTTCCCCTGTCCAGGTGTGCCCGGCTCATTCAAAAGCTTCTGTGCTTGTGTGCCGACCTTCCTTACCCATCCTTCTATAGCACCCCCAAGCTCTTGGAAATCCAAGCCGCTGCCACTGAGCGGAGTGACAGCACCGGATCCGCCATACTGACTTGATGTTCCTGCACCTGCGTCCAGCAAACCCGGCGCCCACGGTGTGAAGTATTCCTGTCCGGGTGGAGGAGCCATATTGGGCAAGTACTGAGCGAATTTCTTGTTCAGACCATCCTGCGCAGGCCCAGGGCTTCGCACATTCCTGCCCATTGTACCGACACCCCCTGGGCCTTGCAGACCCCATGCTTTGCCTGATGTACTTCTTTGACGACTGTGGGCTGAGGCGGATGACAGGTTGCTTGACGCGCGCGGTCGAACGGATTGCGAGGGAGAGCTAGTGAGCGGATTTGTGGAGGTGGACGAGCGTGGAAGGTCGACGGAAGCCCGGGGGGTCGATGCGTCGGAGTACGCGAGAGACTTTCGTCGAGCGGGTGGGAAGAAGCCAAGCGCTCTTCGTGGCATGCGGCCAATCTGTGTGGGCTGTTTGTCATTAGGCAGAAGAACCCATGAATCATGTGTCCATGGTGTCTCTGGGTCAGATGAGGGGACGGAGTCGTTCTCTTGGTCTTTCTTCTTTGGCGTGGTCCAGCCGTTAGGGAGACCTTGAGTATCTGAAAGTGGAGCCTTGCTATTCGAATCTTCGCCGTACTCTCCCAGTAATAGATCTTCGGCAGGGAGAGCATCCGGGCCTTGGACTCGTTTCCCTTTTACGCCACACGCATCTACTGGCAGGACGACTTGCTTCTTGATCTGTACACTATCGTTCGGCCACATACGATTGGCCTTCCGTAGCACAGCTTGCTCGCAGTTGTATTTGATGCTCAGTCCCGCCAGCGTGTCCTGCGGGCGAACGTGATGTATGTATACAAGTGCATCTCGGTCGTCGTTCTCGCTGGGAGGTGCGGAAGCGCTGATCCGTTCATCCGAATTCCTGCGCTTTATGCGGCCGACAGAGTCCGGTACCAGATGCTCACCGGCGGTCAGTAGATCTTTGCGCTTCATCGCTCTGACCATGGCCTCTCTCTCTTCGTGTGTTCCAGCTCCGACATGCGAGCCTGCGCCTGCAGGACCCCAGTGTTTCGGGGGCGGGGCGCTCGTCGACGTCCGACGCCCATGGCCCGGTTTACGTCTGCGAGTATTTCCAGATTCGTCCGAGGTACCGTCACTGGCCAGGACGGTAGCGGCAATGCCCTGAATAGCCGCCAGCGAGTTTCCCCATAGGCCGGAAAGTGTTTGCGAGGGTGATTTCGGGGTCGAGGTGCCCGATGACCTTTGAAAGGAGGATAAAGGGGCAGAAGTGACGTTTAGACGGGACGAGGAAGCGCCGCCTGTGCGTGCATTCGGGGTGGGAGATGTGTTCCGCGAGTTCAATCTCGACGTGGCCCTACTGGGTCCGCTCTCACTTCCACTCGTCGCATAGATGTCATCTTCCACCGAGATCAGTCTTCGGGTGCGGGGGCGCAGTGTCGAGTTGCTCTTGGACGTGGACAGCGAGGAGCCATTGGAGGGGTTCATGGCATGCGGACGCCAGGCGGAGTGGGTAACGGTGGTGCTGCATAGGCCAAGTGATTGGAGTGGTCGGGAAGCCGCATGACATGGGGTTACGGGAACATGGCGTGGACGTCAGGAGCAAGGACGGAAGCGCAGTGTCTAGGTTGCTCGGGTATCGTGAGGGTCAACAGCTGGGGAAGGAAGCTACGTAACCCCCGAGTACCACACCCCTTCATTCAAACACGCCCGTGCACTGTGCCGCCGAACCGTCAGAACGTGCCATGCCAAGTCACCTAGGCACCATGCACAAGGCTCACGATTGATTAAGATGAATTGGATACGTAAGTAGTGGGTACTCTTCGACTTTCACCGCCCCTCCGTGACTTCTCAAACTGCCTGGGCGCCGTGTGACGATAAGGCCAGATAACGACTAGCTTCAGGCCAGAGCTGACTCGGTCACCCCATGCATTCACGACATTACTTCATGGTTTGGATACAGATCGTGCATTGTCATGTACTATAACACTACTGCGTAGCGACACGCAAACAAACGCCATGTGCGTGTATTAAACCCACGGATATCATCATCAGTCGTCATGGTCGACAGAACGAGAAACAGTAAAGACACACTATCGAACAGAACGAATCTCACCCACCCACTGGCTTGTCCGTCACCGGAACGGGCTCGAGCTGGTCGTCGCATCCACATCTTCAAACTCCAGCTCAAACGCGTCTACTTCCTCAAACTTCTTTCTGATAGCAGCCAACTTCTCAGACTGCTCAATGGCTGAGACTTCAGTGGTCTCTGCTTCGTTCTGGTCTGCTGTCTCATTTTCCTTATCCGACGAAATCCTGCGACCGTACGTTCGGCTCGACTTCCCTGCTGGTTTTGCTGGTGCAGTCTTCTTGGCGCGACCTGTTTTCTTTGTTGCCTTTGGCGATGCCGGCTTTCCAGCCCCCTGCCTCTGACGAACGCGACGTGTTGGCATTTGTAGTTCATCTTGATCCGAGTCCACTTGCTCAATATCATCCGACGATTCGATCTCAAACTCATCGCGATCCCGCAAGCGATTGCGCCGACGTGGTAGCAATTCTTTGAGTTGCGCGGTGGATATGCTCTGCTGTGCCTTCTTCTTAGCCCTCTGCTTAGCCCTTGCAGGTGTCTCTGTTTCCTCGCCATCAGAGTCCTCGTCCACCACGGGTGTCTTGACCTGCCGTCCTCTCCTGCGTGGTCGCGTTTGCGCTAGGGTCGGAGGCGGCTTTGATACTTCGCGTTCCGGGCTACTTGACATGGGAGGTGCAAGCGTCTCGCTCAAGGGTTCATCGTCTTCCTGTGTCTGCGCGATGACTTCCTCACGTGTCGGCAGTACTTCTGGTAGGCTTGGGGAGTGTGACCGCTCCGACTCCACATCGCCGCCAGACTGTGGACTGACGGGTGGTGACGAGCGAGGTACTTGGACTACAGGCGACAGCTTGCGCTTTGTACCACGGGAACCGGAGCTTGAGATCTGAGTGCCGCTATCATTCCGTGTCTCCTCCTCCGGTACCTGTTTCCGCACGTTGAGAGGTGTTGATTCGGCGTGGGGAAGGAAGTCGTCAAAGTCGAAATTGTCCGTGTTGTCCAAGTCGTCTTGATCATTGTCCTCCACGTCCGTAGTCTGCTGCACCATGCGCAACAAGCTTGGCTGCCGTGCTCTGCGCTTGAAGTTGGTCAAAGCAAGTATCGATCTCTCGTGTGCGGGTGTTGCGCCGACTTTGATGGCAGACGGCGGGCGGGTGCCGTGAGCTGGTGAATTTGAGCCAAGGGAAGAGAATGTCAAGTCGCCATAGCCGCTATCGTCTTCTATCTGCGATTCTTCGTGTGCTGGTTCGATGGCAGTTGGCGATGTGTGTGCTGCGGACTTCCTGGCACTGCTCCTTGTGGCCCGCGTCCGCTTTGATGCATTCGATGCAGGAGTCCGGTTCTTAATCGATGACACAGGGATGGCTTCTTCAGCCGGCAGCGCGCCAGTCATGGTGAGCTCTGCCTCGTCCTGAGCCTCCGGTGTCTTCTCCCCCAGTAGAGTCCTGCGCGAACGCGTTGTTCTCGATTTGGTAACGAGGCCATCGCTGTCTTCGCTGAAACTATTGGCTGCCTCACTGAGCTTTTTGGTTTGCGCTGGGATGGGTTTCGCCGCCTGTTTGCGCGCGGGGGCAGCTTTCGGTTTGGTGGGTTTCGCGACGCGCGACGCGACTTTCGATCGTGGTGGGCGGGGCATTGTAGCAAGGCGCCAGCGCGAGTGTGTTAAGGTATTAGGAAATATGCGCAGGGAGTGAGTGTGTTCGCGATCGGATTGATGCGGGCGGCGACCGTGCGACGGGAATGGGGATGAGGCGCGTCGATGTTGTGACGCACTGGATTGAATTCACCACCTAGCGCCGATCTAGACGCGCGAACACTTGGCTCACGTGTCAGCGCATCATCCACATGGGCTTGTAAGCCATGGCCATAGACAACGCGATGACTGTATTTTCTGCTTATGTAGTACCTCGCTGAGGTCTGGCGGTAGCCTGAACCTGCACGACGTGTTGAGGATGTTCTCAAGGCAACAACGGTCGGAGCGTACATAGCTGCCTTCACAGGCCCCAGATCTAACATTCCTTACCTGTCTTCACTCACACTCCAGTGGCATCATGAAACCACTCCACTATCCAGATTCGTTGCAAGAATACGCGGTATCTGAAAAGGACTATCTCCAGCAGCACCCCGAATACAATTGTCTCGTCACAGGCGCAATTGTGTTCAACAAAGAAGGCAAGCTGCTGATCGTGCAGCGTGCAGCGGAGGAAAGAGCGTTCCCTGATCTCTGGGTGAGTCAATGAGGAAGCTACGAGTCTTACGGTGCTAACACCAAAAAGGAGGTCCCAGGAGGCAAGGTCGATGATACGGACCAGACAATTCTGCATGCTGCTGCTCGAGAGCTCAAAGAAGAAGCTGGCCTTGAAACGACCCGCATACTGAGGAAAGTCACGCATTTTACCTTCTTGGACAAGACCACGACATGGCTCAAGTTGGTGTTTGAGATGGAAGTGCAGAACGCCGACACAGTCGTCTTAGACCCAGTCGAGCACCAGAAGTACCTGTATGCATCCGAGGATGAGGTTATCAAGGACAAGGTGGGGGATGTGGAGCTCAGGTACATCAGTCCTGCGAATAAGGAGGTCAAGTTGGAAGCGTTCAGACAGAAGCGCGAAGGGTGTTCCGCGTAGCAGTCATGGACGTTGGAAGAGTTGAAACGCTTGATGTATCTGGGAAAGCTGATTACTTCACGGGACGACTTCCGAGGCCATGCTTAAGGTATTGGCTGGACTTGACAGTACACTTGCTGTCGTGTGAGCAAAGCCAGCCCCTTTAGAGCATAGTCTGCATGTGAATGCAAATCACAAAGTCGAGTTTCCTCAAAGAGCCGGCGATCAGTTGCTTCCCATGCTGTCTCGCTGGTCCGCATATGAAACTGGTGATTGTCGCCAATAGGAGGCGAGCCATATGGTCGGAGACGTGATCTGGGGTAAGCTGGCAGCCGTCCAACCGAGCAACAAAGAAGCCAAAGTTGACGCCAACGTGACACGGCCCAGAAGCAGCCTAGGTAGCAGTGCAATTTCTGGCGTCTGAGCGAATATCCTGTTGGACAGGAAAAAGCACGTTTCGTGTCGCAATGGTAATAACTGCCTTGCCGTACCCTCCCGTACCACCCCGGCGCCCGCGCTAGTACACACTGTGCGTGCCCCCAAAGAACACGACCATTTGCGGACGAATCATAACCTCAACCCTCGACGACCGCGTCAAAGAGCACAGCGACAGCAGCATGTCGGGCGAACACTCCTTCATGGCCAGCGCCGTGCCCGCAGCAGCAGCGCCGCCGCCGCTCGCTGCGCAACCCAGCATTGGGACCCCGTAGGTTGCAGTCGCGCGCAGCACTCCAGCACATGCTCATACCAGCCAGGCCGTCGGCGTCGTCGCAGTCAGTTCCCCCTGGACACCCGTCTTTCCGGCGGCAACGCGCCAGCCGGGCGTGCGAAAGTGAGTGCGACCCATGTCTTGCCTGTATCTGCGCCCCTGATGGTACGAGGGAGGAGCCATTGCGGTCGGTGGGATATATGGTTCAGCTCGCGAGCCTCGGCACCTCGGTCGGCCTGGATAACGAATGCTAACCACCACGCATCGCAGCCTGTCACGCGAGGAAAGTGAGTAATCAGCCGCGGAACCGCCGTGCTGCCAGAACGCGACATAACCAGCAATAGGTACGATGCGACGCCGCCTCATTGGGGATCCCATGCACCAACTGCACCGCCTTCGGCATCGAGTGCCGCATCCCCCAGCCCAAGCGCAAGAAGACGCAGACGGCCCGGGCCAAGGATGCAGAGAGGTACGCACGCGACCGACCGCCAGGGTGCTATGGAACTGACGCGACAGCAGTGACCGCGGCGACAGCGACGACCGCTCGCCCGCCAGCACCTCCGCTGAGCCCCGCGAGAAGTCGACCGCATACAACACCCAGGATGGGACCCCCTCCACCACCGTCTCGCCCGAATACGCCGCCCAACAGGCTACCCACAATGGCACCTACGTGCAGTTCATGAAGCCCAAGTTTGCGCGCGCCCCCATCAAAGAAGCCGGCCGCGTCGCCTACCTCGGGGAGTCCTCCAACCTGTCGCTGCTTGTGCACGACCGCTATGGCACCACCGATGTCGTCCACTACCCGCTGCCCGAGAACGTGCGGGGCGCGAAGGCGCGGGTCAATGAGATGGACAACATGGAGATTGAGATACTGCATCAGCGAGGCGCCTTCCTGCTCCCACCACGGGCATTGTGCGACGAGCTTGTCGAAGCCTTCTTCAGATGGGTGGCCCCGGTCGTGCCAGTCATCAATCGCAGCCGCTTCATGCGCCAGTATCGAGACCCCAAGAACCCGCCCTCGCTCCTGCTACTGCAGGCCATACTCCTGGCAGGCTCACGCGTGTGTACCAATGCGCAGTTGATGGACTCCAGTGGCTCAACCACCCCCGCCGCCATGACGTTCTATAAGCGCGCAAAGGCGCTATACGATGCCAACTTCGAAGACGATCGCGTGACCATTGTGCAAGCCCTCATCTTGATGGGCTGGTACTGGGAGGGACCCGAGGACGTGACCAAGAACGTTTTCTACTGGACCCGAGTCGCTATCGTAGTAGCTCAGGGTTCGGGCATGCACCGCAGCGTTGAAGGATCGCAGCTCACACGCTCCGACAAGCGCCTGTGGAAGCGTATCTGGTGGACACTGTACAGCCGGGACCGTTCAGTGGCAGTCGCACTCGGCCGGCCGGTTGCCATCGACCCTGAAGATTCCGACGTCGAGATGGTGTCTGAAGATGACTTCATCGACGACGAGACAGAGCACGCCGCAGAATACCCACCAGATCCGATCCATGTTCAGTTCTTCATCAACTATGTCAAACTTAGCGAGATTATGGGCTTGGTCCTATCACAACAATACTCAGTAGCGTCGAAACACCGCAGGGCGAATGCCATAGACCTGACACACAGCGACATGGCCCTTGCCGACTGGCTGCAACATTGTCCACCGGAAGTGCAGTGGGAGCGAAATCGCCATCATTTCTGGGCTGCCTTGTTACATTCAAATTACTAGTACGTCTATGCATCTTTTGACTCTGATGTAGACTAACGCTCGCAGCACCACTCTATGTCTTCTGCATCGCGCACACATGCCACCAGCAGGCTCACCAAAAGCCACTCATCTTGACGGTTTTGGTGAAGCCAACGCCTACCCATCACGGAATATCGCGTACCAAGCAGCCGCTATGATCACATCCATCATTGAAAACCTCAGAGCTCATGATGAAATTCGGTATACTCCGGCTTTCATCGTCTACAGCTTGTTCTCCGCTCTCATCATGCACGTGTACCAGATGAAGTCGTCTAACAAGTCTGTCGTCTCAGCGACTGAGCAGCGACTACAGATCTGCTTGGACGCTCTTAAAGAGGTCTCCAAGGTGTGGCTTGTCGCAAAGATGGTGCATACTCTCTTCGAATCGATTCTTGGAAACAAGCACCTTGAAGAACGTCTGCAGAAAGCTGCCGGCCGTAACCACAAGAAAAACAAGGTCCCTTCGGTCCCACCACCACCGCCACCTAAGCCTGCCCAGGAATCCTCGAAACGAAAATTCGATGACATGGATCTAGGCTTCCCTGTTCCAAGTGGGCCGCCATCTGCCCAGGTCTCCTATGAGCGGTCCAGACCGCAGACTCCTGCCGTCACACCTTCGCGCGAGCTGCAACCCCAACAGCAGATGCCCCAGATGACTACTGGATCTCCGCAGATGAATCGGCAGAATCACGACGCATTCATGGGCCCTTCACGGTCAGGAACGCGTCCTACGACCCCGTTCAATCCTTCATACTCGTATCCAGGAACGCCACCAGATCTTTTCCTGGTGACCCGTGATACCCCTAATATTAGCCAAGAAGTGTGGCAGAACTTCCAGCCCGATCAGCTGTTCCCTGCCGACACACAAGTCAACTTTCCCCAGATGTCACCCATGCAAAACCACAGCCTTGTAGATCCTGCCTTGAGCCAACCTCAAAACATTGCCATGCCCTCTCAACAGACTTCTGGGGGCCAGTCACAGATGCAGAACCCACCGTCAAATCCGGGTATCTCCAGCGGGTACGAGCATAATAACACTCAGGCCTGGCAGCAACAGATGGAGATGATGTCGCAAAACCAACAACAGCATGGCGCACAGGATGATGCTTGGAGTCAAAGTTCCGGAGGTCGGCCCAACCCCATCGTGCCTATGAGCTTGAATGTCGATGACTGGTAAGTCGAAGTTGCGATTCTGTCCGAAAGCAGTCACTAAATCTCTGTCCCAGGTTCAACTTCTTCGGCATCAACGGTGAAGCCGACATGTCACATCTATTCCAGCAAGGCCCTGCTTAGACTCAGAAGCGTTTGCTTCTGTGATTGTTCGATAGCTTTGTTGTTAAAGTTTTACTCCGCGTGTAAGCGTATCAGTAGCGTGGATTCAGTTGTTGCATGAATGCATGTCTCTTCAAAAGGTTCGAGGTAGCAGCGTGTGGGTTCTGTACGTCCCGCGTACAAAGGAAGATGATTTGGCATATTACAGGACAACACTTTTCGGCATACTACTTCTCTGTGTCGTCTTCACTATAAGCTACCATCAATGCATAACACTCGCGTGCTTGGACAAATTTCACGATACAGATTTGTGACTGAAGGCAATTATGGACACATATTGACGACCTTAGGATGTTCACGTCAAGATGTTCCAATCCAATGCCTTGTGAGGCCTTCGCTAGAATTCATCAATGTGCCTACTGTTGGGATACGTTGCTGATTGTTGCCATAGAAGACATCTAATCCGGGTTCATGCTCTCATTCTTTCTTACGTGCTTATCGCATCTGTATCGAAATTACGAGTCTGCGCAGTCTTCAATGCTAAGCAGTCCGAAGCTCTCCATTTCAACGGAAGATCCACCCGTGGGCCGGTTGGCTCCCCGCGTCATAAGCCTGTGCAGGCCCGATTAGGTTAGCACCACTTCGGTTTCGGGAACCTCGCAACTTCACGTACCTAAGTACGCGAGACTGATACAACAACACCGTGAGCTCGACGTACACTAGCCGCCCAAGGCCAGATCACGACTCTATTACCAGGTTCGTAAATGCTCTCTCTCCAAGCCCTCGAAGTGCACCCATTCCTTCTGTTGCCCGCATAAACCCCAAGGTCGAATCGGAATCGCACCACGCCGCACATCGCAACGGAGCCACCCACGACTACGACATCGAACGCGCCCGAATAACAGCCCTACAACGATCACGATCCCTTTACGCAGCCGTATTCACTACGCGCCTTCCTCGACTGCTTCGCCGCAGCCTTGCCATTCGCTCGCCCAAGTACCTACTCCCAAATCAAACAATACTAACTACCCTTCTCGTGTAGGCTAGGGCGCATCATTCCTACAAAACATACGCCCCAACATGTTTCAAGCGCAACAAAATCCGGGCCGCGGTGCCCCACTCGGTGCGAATAGGTTGCAGAATGGCAAGATGGGTGAGGACAACCCCAGAGCGAGTTTGGGCTATATCGCTGATTGCTGTCTCTGTAGGTGCTGCGTCTCAATGGGGGTTTGGAGCTCCAATGGGTGCGCCAGGCCTATCGAATGCGCAAACACGAACAAACGGCGGGGCCATGTCAAGCTTCGCGCAAGCAATGGGCGGCTCGCAGCCACATACGCCGCTGAATCTTGAGTAAGTCAACACACGAAATGCCTCCGAAACGAAAGAAAGGAGAGTACCGAAAAAAGACTCCACAGCTCGATTCTGGGAATCTGAAGGACGTTGAGAGACACAAGCTAAATGTTGATGACCATAGGGAATTCCCTTCGCTGTCGGGCGCGCCGCAAGCGCAACAGAACACTACCGCGCAGCAGATGTGGTCGAACCCCACCCTACGAACCACCCAGCAAGCCCAGCAAAACACGATCGGACGTCCGCAAGGCCAAGGTCAACAGCAGGGCCAAGGGCAGGCAACACAGGCTACGAATCAACAACAGCAGAACCAGGGACAGGATGATTCATCCCAAAGCCAGTTCTCTGGTGCTGGGGATGATTATCGTTTTGGAGGACAAGGGGGTGTCGGACAGTTGGGGGGTGTTCAGCCGCAGACAGGCAACATCGAGGAGTTCCCTCCATTAGGGGGCGCTGGCGGAGATATTCCACAAGATCGAAGAGCTGGCCTGATACAGAACGCAGCGGCATTCGGTGCGAATGGAAACAGCGCCTTTCCTGGGCTCGGACAAACACGGAACGGCCTCTCAAGCCCGACAGATAGCCAGCAAGACCGGAGCATCAACCCCACTGTGGGTGGCAGGGCACCGCCAGGTACATGTAAGCAAGAGGTCTCAGCCATCATATCAGCCACTGACGATGATAGCATCACGGACACCATTTGAGAACATGCGGACAGGCAACCAAGCAGATGTACGTACCACATGCAACTCTGCTGTACCATAGTTCACACCATGTAGGGAAACCAACGGATAGGGCAGCAAGGGAACATGTTCTCCCTAGGTCCTCAGACAAGCATGCGGGGTGGTGCTGATCTCGCCCCGGGCGGTCAACGGCAGCAGCAGAATCAGTTCGAGCAAACATTTGGGTCTGACGTTCTCGGCTCCCCGAACGCGCAAAATATGCTACACAAGAAGCTCTCGGACATGACGGACTCGGAAAGATACGGTTTACCTGGACTTCTGTCCATGATTCCTATGGACAGCCCCGACTATTCCTCGCTGGCTATGGGCCAAGATCTGACAGTTCTGGGCCTCGATCTGAGCCGGCCAGAGTACGCGTTCCCTTGCCCTCTCAACACATTTGCTAATGGGTTTCTTAGTAATTCTCCATTACATCCTACGTTTGGTTCACCTTTCGTGGAATCCAACGTCAAGCCAGTAATTCCACCAGATTTCACTCTACCGGCGGCGTACACTGTAACAAATGTTCCACCACTGCATTCGAAAATGGCCAGCTTCTCCGCCGAGACACTATTAGCTATCTTCTATCAATTCCCGAGAGATATCTTGCAAGAAATTGCTGCACAAGAGCTATACAACCGCGATTGGCGGTGGCACATGAAGCTCCAGCAGTGGATGATGAAGGATCCAGATCTCGCGGCGCCTATCAGGATTTCGCCAAAAGAGGAACACGGATGGTATCTATTCTTCGATGTTAAGAACTGGAGGAGAGAAAGGGTATGTGTTCCGCTCTGTCAATGCACGTCATATGAACGACGTACTAGACACTAACGCGAGTATAGAAAGAGTTCGACCTCAACTACGATCACCTTGATCAACGCCACGGTAGCCCTGCTATGGCGGGACAGATGTAGTAGGCTTCCTCTTCACACTGAGTGAATCGTCTTATCGCACATGCACCGCTTGGTGGTGACCTCGGCTGGTATTATACCAATAAAGTACCCTGAGGGTCTTACGCCTGGGGTTTGAGCAACTGTTCTATTCTACGCTTCATGCACATGCTCATGAGGCGACATGATTCACTATGGTCTCTTGATCCGTGAGAAAACAATCTGCAGGTGTGTGACTGCTGCCTTGGCCGGCACGTGCCTTCTCTCACTGTTAGCGGTGAGATCGTGACTACCCCAGTGTCTTGCATCGAACCTTCTTCGTCCACCGTCTACTCATACAACCGCACTTTTCCCCCTCTATCACCGGCCTCAACTTCAGAGATCCTCGCAAGCACTGACCTGCAGATTACTCTTACAAGATTTTCCTGTCTCCAAACAACGCAACACTAACACACAGCACCCAATCACTATGTCATCTCCAACGTCGAATGATGCCGACTATGTTCGCGAAACGCTCACGAAGCTCTCAGTAGCCGTTCGCGAGCTGACTCCAGCCGGCACAAAGCAAGTTCCACAAAACCCCGACCGCTTCAATCTATTGGCGCGTCCTACATACGGTGGCTGTCGTGTCTGTGGTCTTCCCGGCCACCAGTCCATCGATGTCCACCATTCGGCAGCGTGTCGCGTTGCGCTTCTCTCGCTCATCGGCTTCTGGGAGGATATCGCGGATCACGTGGCCTTCCTCTACCAGCACTCCGAGCGATTTCAAAAGGCCATCCAAGAGAACGAGCCAACGTATGTAATGCGTCTTGACAACCGACCGCTGAAGGGTGGTGACATGGAGGTTGTCCTTGTAGACCGCCTAACAGGGAACTTCCTCAAGTTCATGGCGCATGTTCGGGGTATCCGAGCCAAGGTCAATGTGATTCTTAATGAAGATGACTTGGCTAGATATGAGCGAGTGGCGAAGAATCTGGAGGGGTTCTTCTTGGACGGACAGACTCGTAAGTTCTTTCCGAAACCGCGTGGAATGGCATGAACTAATCTGCTGGTAGTGTCTGATCTCTACGAGCGCAGTATTGCGATGGAGCAGTAAGGCTATGGCTGCATCTGTGTGTGCTTTCTTCCTTGATGGCGGGAATCTTCATGAGCGTATTCTCAGACATTCCCAAATTCTGTTTCTGCATTGAAGGTCACACGTGACGAGCACGTGTTGGCTAGCGCAATACCTAGCTAGGTACTAATATTCCTCCCTCTGCACTTTTGAACGTTGAAGCTTGACTTTCGTAACCACACTTCAGTAACACGGACAGATCGCGATGATTGCCCCGCACTCATAGCTGTACAAGAACTCAGTCGTTGCCCCGCATTCTCCGTTATCGCCCATGCGTAAAGTAGATAGTGTTGGTACAGAATGGTGGGTGCCACGGTACGCTCTTTTCCACACCCCCAATCCGACACGATGTCTTTCCATAACCCCGCTGCACCTTCCACATCTGCGTTCACTTTTGATCATCCCATATTTCATGACTTCCACTAGCACTCCGATAGGCACAACCGAGCTCATATGGGGGTTTCCTTCTCATCTTTGATTGCTTACCAACACATCTTGAACTGCACCACAGCAACAAGATTGCACCGATTGATTGTTTCTCTGTAGACGAAGGTTTACACACAAAAAATCAATGGTGCAGAGTTTACCACAGTGCGGAATCCGAGGACGGCAGCGCAAAAGGCGACGAGGCGATGCAGGGTCTTCCGCAATCAGTACCAGACTCGCATCGCAGTCGAACCCCGCTCCGCGGTAACCATGGGATATTCGATCCGAAAACGACTGTCATAGACCCTGATCGCTTCCCCTCAAGCCCATAAGCGATCTGAGTTTGCACATCAGCTATGAGTAATTGACCGACGATACCGCGGGCACGGGTGGATCCGGTTGTCGCCAATCGTGGGACTGCCAGTACACGATGCTCATTGACGTACGAGCTTTTCCTGGGGTCCGTTGCGAGAATGTAAATCTTGCTCTCCTCCAACAAACAACCATCATCATGGAGGCCGGCGATGCCGCGAACATTGCACATGCCTCGGACCATGACAACGGCGCGGGTGTCTTGCTGAAAGCCGTGCAAATGTCGAGACAGGCCAAGTCTGAGTGCGCAACCCAAGATGCAACGTCGAGCCCCACTAACATATGTACAGGCAAAGGAACGGTACACGTACTGCCACGACAGAAGCGAGAGACTTACCATCTCCAGAAGATACGCAAATCATCGAGGACAGATACATCTCTAGAGATTCGAAACGTTCCAAAACGCCGTCTGGCCAGCTTCCCGCGTGCGCCGAAAGTTCATACAACACGACTGATTCTTCCTCGACGCCGTCTGTGGCAAACCAGCAAAATGTTATACGAATGCACGACGACTCAACTACCTCAGGAGTGCCCACATACCCGGCTGTTCCGAAACTTCAATTCTTGAATGTGACAGATGCCGTACACCAGAGCCATGCCCTCACCATGCCTCGCCGCAAGCCTCTGCCGAAGTCGTCGCAGAACGAGCTGACTCCGATTATCGAACCTAAACCACCGTTTTATCGCCCAGTATCTGCACCTCCTCTGAGAACCACCACGTTGAGCAACGACACCGAGGAGGATACTATTCATCCATGCTCGCCTCTAAGTAGGCCTTCCTCGCGCGCATCGACAATGAATTCCCTAGTCTCTGCGAAGTCACACACAGAGCCTGGACCTATACACATTCATCCATCCTCCCAGCTCCAAAGCATGCAGTCTATCGGCGAGCTAGATGCAAGACTCCATGAAGTCGCCAGTCTGCGTAACTCATTGAGAATGACGTGGCCCAGCCGTACAAGTAGTGACGCAACTCCGACCGGTACTCCAGAGTCTATATCCAATGTGCCATTGAGCGGTGGAGTTTATGAAGCTCATTCAAGGTTGAACAGTAACATCCGTTCGAAGTCCACCGAAAGAGTGTATTTACATGACTGGGCGAGATCGAGCGAATGGGTTCAGCCTTCTGCCACCGATGAAAGCTCAAAAGAGTGGATCGAGGACTTCCTTGCTCGCCAGGAACAAGCAACTCGCGACGTGCATGGTGAAGGACGACGTCTAGGAAAGCAAGACAGCAAGTATGGCAGTATCCGCAGCCGAGTGGGTAGTATCGACAAGTTCAGGCGCAAGCTAAGCATGAGGCGTGTTACAGATGAACGGGGAAGCTTCGAGGCAAGGCAAGAGAGGAGGCAAGGACGGGTCTTTGACTTGGACATTGAATCGTCTCCTTACGGAAGGGCAATCGTGCCAATACCTGGAGAAGATTTGGAGAGACCGGCGATATCAAGAGCGTTCTCACGCAATTCCATCACGAATCAGCACCTCAGGCCTGAAACCGCTATGTCGAACCGATCGTCCTGGGCCCCTACATCTTCTTCGGGTCTGCATTCAACGCATGCGCCGGAACCGCACCACATGTCACTACCATCGCGATGGCCATCTTCATATCCTACCTGCAGCACCTTCACACCAAACCCCTATCATTCGACGCCCAAGCAACGACCTAAAGTCAAAAAGCATCGATATCAAACGCATGGTTACGGCTACCAAGCGCGTGGCTATCAATCGCATGGCAGAACCGGCAGCTGGGAGAAGTTGAAGGTCAAAGCGGTGACTTCTATAGGCTCGGATCTCAAGAGAAGTATTTCTACTGGTGTCGCGCCCGTCATCACGGAGGGAAAGGACAGTGTGAAGAATCTGGTGGGTAAGGTGGAGAGAGCCGGTGGGAGTATGACTAGGAAATTCAGCGCGAGCTTGAAGGACAAGTTGAAAGCTTTCGGCAAGAAAAAGGAGGGCATGAGTGTTGAAGGGACTTATGCAGTTCAAGGTGAGCGTTGAATCCAATCGCGAGTTAGTTCCAATGTCTTTGGACGCATGTTGCACGATACTACATTGATATTCGCTTAGCGGTTTGAAAGCGCAGTTTTTTTTGGAATCACAATGACCTCCTACAACGCTCGCTATTCCTTTCTCAAGAAATTTCGTTCGATACAGCAAACAGAGTCAACCCGGTATCTAGCGATATCGCATGACGACCAGAGGTGATGATTGAGTCTAGCCTTCCGCGGAGTTGCTCTCCAAATCGTCACCACCGCCCCTGAACCACAAAACTCTTATCCATCAACCGATGTTTTGACGAATGTCAACATCATGCAAGGACCCTGTGTCAGAGTCCGACGCACTGGATCACGGCACATAGAACGGTACCCCTCGGGACCAGCACACTGGTCCCACTCAATGGAAATGCTGTCTCTTTACCGCACGATCAACCAAACAACTCGTCAAGCCTGGAGTTTACACAGCTCATAGGCCGCTTTCTGAGACGACATGGTCATTACGAGCCGAAGTTGACGCCAGAATATTCTCCTCCGATTTGTTCGCAACACTCGGCATCTCTCAAACATGTCATGATCATGCCCGAAGCTACCGTTCGACTTCATACCCATCTTTTCAGTGCCTTTGTACTGACGATTCTTCCCAAGCGCATATCAAGATCCCCACTGTCGAGCCGTCAAAATGCCACGCTACTTCCCCACAATACCTCTCCAACCCTCACAGCCATTGCCTCTTCACCGAGGCTGCAAAGCATACTTTCTGAACAATCACCCGGCACTATACACCAAGCTACGCACCTTCAGCACACACCATGTGCATCCTTCACTCTCTTCCCATCCAGTTTCAGCGATATATCCCTGGCCGTACGCACCCCACCAATGTGTGTCGAGCATATACTGACTAGTCTCCAGCCTCGACGCGATCCTCCTCCCCAAGCGCAAGCCTAACGAAACCCCCTTAGACAAAATATACGTAATGTACCATTATCTAATCCGCGGCGACTACGAAGTTCTTCGCAACGAAGTGCAAGACTTCTTCGATCACACAAATTGGCACGTCCACTCCATCCCCGACCCGCGCGACCACGACCCAGAACGCTATGCCATACTCGCGGCTATAACACAATACCTTGCGCATGGCATCAACCGTCGCATTAAGATCAGCAACGGGTATCGGAAGGAGCCCTTGGGGCCATGGAAGACGGCAGCGTACGACGCTTGTTATAATGGTAGAGGTGGTCTACCAATCTTTGAAAAGCTGGAGAGGGAACCGAAATGGGCGGGGAGGGTTAAGAGGATAAATACCGGGTTAGAGATTTGTCAAAGTTGGAACAGTGCGGTGTGGGGAGAGAGAAGTAGTATGAGGTTTGCGGCTAAGGGAATTGTGAGTGTGGAGATTGTGGAATGCTTCATCTGACGGGGTCAAAGCATAGACGTGGTGTGTTTAGCTGGAGTTTGGTATACTGTAGTTTCTTCGACGTTCATAGCGCGAGTGTTTTTAGGGAGAAAATTACTCTCTCGCGACGCTATGCCGCCTCGTCTTCGATTTCCAAGTTTCCCACTTTGAACTTCTTGCCTTTCTTGTCCGCATAGTCCCCATGGTCATGATAATCCTTCACTCTTTCCCTAACATACTCCAGACCCCTCACTGGCTCCCTTTCTTCGGCATCTTCGCCGACAAGCCCCAACCTTCTCAACAAAGGTGATGCCACAGGCTTGATATCGACCTCATTTCCCGGTCTGACAAAGTAGAACAGCCCCAGCCGATGAATATGCGCTTGATCCTCTGGTGGTCTGATTACTCTGTGGATAGTCGATTTGAAGTAGCCTGCAGACCAGAAGGACAAAGTATCACCAACATTACATATGATGCCGTTGGGAACAGGTGGAACGTACTTCCACTCTCCAGCCGGAGTTTTGAGTTGGAGACCTGCAACATCTTGACTCCAGAGTAGTGTCAAGCTTCCGAAATCAGTGTGCGCGCGAGACCAAGTATTCTGAACTTTGGCATCGTCGGTAGCGGGGCGTGGGTGGTAGATCATGTAGCGTAGATGGTCTTCTGATGCGTCGTCATAGCGATGTTGATCTGAGAAGTAGGTCTCGGGTAGTTCCAGGATCAAAGAGAAGAGCGTGAAGATCTTGGATGCTATGTCCAGAGAGCGGCGCGAGAAGGACTCGATCTCTGGGCGAAAGGGGTGGAGGAAGTGTGGAAATGGCTCGTGGGAGTTTGAAGGGATGAATTTGGGTATGTTGAGGGATTCAACGTTATCGAGGACCGCGGTGCCCATGATTTTCTTCTCGTTGGCCTTGGCTTTGCGTTAGACAAGCGTAATTTGCTTTCTAATGGCATGGATATAGGGGCGTACAGCGCGGTATCCAAAGTAGTTGCCCTTTGCGAAATCACATCGGTACTTTGGGTCGCCCTTCTCTTCTAACGGCAAGTCGAAATAAGCTTGACCGATATCATATTGACGCTCGACCTCTTCCTGCGTTAGACCAGTGCCAGTAACGCTGAAGAAGCCCGTGTGGTGCACCTTCGGCGTTGTCAGAAGGGACGTTTGTCGCAGAGTTTAGCTGCCAACTCACTGCGTCTCTCAGCTCTTCAGCCAGTTTTTGTTTTCCATTAGGTTCGTCATACGTAGATAGATCAATGACCTTGATCTCTGCCCAGTCTAGCTTCTTCGTTGTTCGCTTGGGCCGTCCCCACTTTGGAATGGAAGGTGGCTGTTGCAGCGTCGCTGATGGCATGTTGCTGGCAGTAGTTTCAACTTACGAGACTTGGGCGACTTGGAGTCCTGTTTGACTTTTATACATTCTGCGACGTTATTCCCGGTTATTTCTAGTCCATCGCAACGGGTTGTGTCTCGCTGCATAGATGCGGAGGTGGCGAGCACGCAATACCCCGCTTGATGATGTGCTCGCATGACAGCATCGCATAACCCATGCTCTTCTTGCAATTACCCCTTCGGTTTGTTCTTCTCAAACAAATGGGTGGTAAAGCATCGTTGCCAAGTCGTGCCGGCCCTGTCATCCGTTCTTGAACTGGCTATGGTCGGGCAATTTGACCGCCCCTTTTGCCGTCTTCTCCAACAATTTCGACAAAGTCTTGCCCATCCATCATCGCACCGCGCAGCCCTACCAAATCGGAATCTGGGATTTCAGCGTAGCTGTCCCAGATGATCTTTCCAAACTCATCGAACCACCATATTTTCACCCTGCTCTTCTCGATAGCTTCTTCGTCTGCCACATACACATAGTTCTGAACTCGGTTAGCCACTTCTCTGATATCGAACAGCTCTTGATCTGTGATGTTGCGATCTACATGACTCCCGTCCTCTTCCCTCTCGATTTGGTAGATGGCACTTCCATAAACAAGTTCACTACCATCTCCATACTCGTCCATTATACCCAAACCATCGGTCAGTCCGGGAATGCGAAGAAGAAGCTGATCCAGGACTTCCTGATCCAGTCCATGGAAGTCATAAAGCGCACAATCATCTAAAACATGGTTCAAACTTTCAACGCAGCCGTCCTCGATGTTAGCCCCAGAAAGTCGTGCGAGCTCAGCGTAGCTTTGGGCCATTGAGGGCTTGTAACATGTCCTTAACCAGACTGTGTTCCACCCTGGGTACCATCTGCTGATATTGTGTTCTTGGATGGTTTGATGCGGAGCAAATATCTCGTCGATTTGTTTTGTGGTGGGCGAAGGAAGAGATACTGCACCAGGAACTTCGTTCAGTGCGTCCTGGATCCGCTTGTGCAGATGCTGGGTAGCGTCAATTTTGAGACCAATGCAATCACGCTGTGGCATCGGATGAGGCGTGCCGTACCCATCTCTGCAGGAGGCTTGTGGTGCGGTACCTCCTGGCTATTTCATTCCATCGCTGATGATGGTCGGCTGGCAGCGCAGGGCTGGTGCTTTCCCAATGTTCCTGAAGGCATGTTAATCACTTGTATCCCCATTCTGTTGTATCGAGTCGGCTTACTAGAGCGAACAGATCGAAAGGGGAGCGAACATGTCGTGTTTCGGCTTCCGCCGACGCCATTATCTCTCAACCTAGGTAGAGGACACCGAGTCAAGCGAATCAGTCGCGCTTTTCACGAGAGTCCATCAACAGCTTGCCCATAGGAAACATCAGTGTGACCAAGGTAGGTTGCACTGATCTGACGCGCTTCAAGCATACCCAATGCGTAAACACCGCGTGTATTAGTCAGCAAGCTAGCGTGCCATCCTGATTGCGCTGACACCTGTTCAAAGGAGCCTGTCACTGTCACCCAACTCTGAGAGCTCGTAAGGCGAGCATATCTTCGCCAGCGGCGTGGACAGTAATCGATCGTAGGGTAAAATGTCAGATGCACGGTGCTTTTCATAAGAAGGCTTCCTGCCATGATTGTGTGGAGGCCTTATCGCCAAGATACCATCGGCACTTTCGCAACCTCCGATTCTGCGTTGAGTAAGAAGTACGAGACGTTGCGCATTCCTTACGGCGCCGGAAGGCACCTGACAGCCGATGACTTTCCAAGCTTTCCATCATGCACAACTGCACGCCTCGAACGCAAACAACTACAAACTCAGCTCCATCCAATTGTCGAACGACCGAGAGATGGTACTAGCGGCGCCAAAGCCACCGATTGTCTTGGGGATCTGGTGATGTCATTAGTCACGGCAGAATTTCGCCGTAGCGCGCAGGAACCCGATCTGCAAGTAGTAAGGACGGAGTTCCGACTTATGATTCTGTCTGTGTTCTAGTAGGCTGCACCCTGGATGAATGCAGTGTTGAAGAGTCGGGATGCATGCAAAGGACCGAAAGAGAAAAGGAATGTGAGGTATATAGAGTAGTTGGACGGACGTCCGTTGCGCATATAATCACATTGCAGCTCTCCTCGTCTTGTATACATTTACCCGCAGCACCTTCCACAAGTTCGTCTAGGCAGAATCTCAGTACCTCAGTTCATACACCCAAACCCACGCCTTCGTCGAACGCTGAGACTGCCTTCAAAATGCCGTCCGCGACGCAACCTCTCAATATCCTGCTATCAGGCTCCGGCATCGCCGGTCCTGTAACAGCGTACTGGTTGCACCGCTTCATGCCTACCTGCCAGATCACCATCGTAGAGAGATCACCCGAACCAAGATTAGGTGGACAAGCCGTCGATCTTCGCTCCTCAGCTCTGCCTATCGTGAAGAAGATGGGAATCCTGGAAAAGGTGAAAGAGAAGACTACTACAGAAGTTGGTATGCAGTTCGTATACCGAGATGGGGAAAGGCGCGCAACGTTTGAGGCTACTGGAGAGGAGGAGAGACAAAGCGGTATGTCACCCAGATTTCGTGTCCGGTGATCTATGAGAGAAGAAGGAGAATATTGTCAGGTCAACGTTGGAACTATGAACTAACTTCATCATAGCAACAAGCGAGTACGAAATCCTAAGAGGAGATATGGCACGCATTGTCTACGAGCTCACAATATCCAACCCAAACATCAAATACGTCTTCGGCGAAATGGCCACAGAGGTCCAACAAGACGAATCCAAAGGCGGCAAAGCACTCGTCACTTTCGCAAACGGCAAGCTCCCACCCACGGAATTTGACGTCGTCATCGGCGCCGATGGCCAAATGTCGCGAACCCGTCGCATCGTGTTCGGACACGGACCCAAGAACGACGACTTTCTACACCGTCTCGGCCAATACTCTGCTCTCTTCACCATGCCCCGTGAACCCGTAGACACCCAGTACGCACAGTGGTACAACGCCTCGCGTGGTCGCTTGTTCCTTCTAAGACCTGACCAGTACGGCACTACGCGTGCGTATCTCGCCATTACCGACGGGAATCTTAGCCGCTTCGAAGAGATAGATAAGCTATTGAAGAAAGGGACTAGGGAGGAGCAGCAAGCGTGGTTCGAGAAGGAGTTCGAGGGTGCAGGATGGCAGACTGAGCGTTGTATACGCGAGATGAAGAGGGCGGATGACTTCTATATGCAGCAGATTGCACAGGTCAGGATGGATACTTGGCACAAAGGGTGTGTGGCCCTGGTGGGTGATGCGGCGTACTGCCCCAGTCCGATTTCTGGTGTCGTAAGTTCTCCTCAACCTTCGTTCTCATCATCGAACCTTCAGACTGATGTCAATACTAGGGTACTGGTGCAGCAATCGTAGGCGCATACGTTCTCGCAGGCGAGATCTCGCGCTCTCAAGATGACATCCCCACCGCGCTCACCAACTATGAACGCATTACACGCGAATATGTCGACAAGGCGCAGAAACTCATCCCCGGAGCCCCGCAAATCGCAAACCCACAGACGGAATGGGGAATCAAGGTCTTCAACACCGTGACCGGGACTTTGTCACATCCGTTCATCCAGAAGTTCAGTGGTGTGATTGGAAAGATCATCCCAGCATTTGGGTCATCAAAGATTTGGAGCCCGCCGGAGTATGGGTTGTGAGGAGTGTGGACGGATGATGTGTTGGAATTTCAGGATGGATTGATCTCGCGCGATATAATTCTGTGAAGAGCTTTTAATGCATTCATCAACTGTTAGCCTGGCGAACGTCCATCAAGCGAATATTCATGGCAGAATGAGTTATTTAGATCGAGGCCAGCACTGACGTTCTCGACTCGTCTACTCGGCAAGCAGGTCTACACCAACGCTTTTCAGCGCGTCGACCGCCCATACAGGATACTTATCCTTTTCCCTGTTGTACAGATCACCAAAGAAGTCCTTGACAAATTGTGGGTAGCGATCCTGCACGATGGCCTCCCTCGCTTCCCTCATCAAATTTAATTGGTAGTAGACGTTGTGCATGGTGAGAAGGTGGGCACCAGCAGTCTCTTTCGCGGTGACGTGGTATATGTAGGCTCGAGTGATACCCAGTCCGCCATCGGATGTCGGACGGCAGCAGGTGCATCGGCAACCTTCTTCGATTGCGCTAAAGTCTTCGGAGTACATGGCATTGCGTAGGTTGAGGGAGCCGCGGGATGTGATGGCGTTGCCGAATCGCTAAATATTGTTAGCATGGGTCTGTGATGAATAGGGAGAAGACCTTACGGCGGTTCGTGTTGGCCAGACACAGTCGAACATGTCGGCGCCGAGTGCGACGGAGACGACCAGATCTTCCGGATATCCCTAAGTTGGTTAGTAAGCTGTAATAATGCTGAGGGCATCCAAAACTTACGACGCCCATGACATATCGCGGCTTCTTCTCAGGAAGCAGGTCGGTACATGTCTTCACGACTTCGCAATAGGCTGCCTTCTCCTCACCGCCAGAGAGACCTCCTATCGCGATGCCTGGTGTATCTCGCGCAACCATCTCGGCGGTACATTCTTTCCGCATGTCCAGGTCCAGGCCACCTTGTATGATACAGAAAAGGTTCTGTCGGTCTGGGTACTTATGCGCTTGCATGCAGCGGTCAAGCCAGCGTACCGAGCGTTCCATGGCTTCCTTCATACGCGCGTGGTCGGGCGAGGTGGTTGCGATAACGTCGTCGAGTTGCATGATTATGTCGGAGCCGATTGAGTTCTGGAGGGAGATGGAGTGCTCGGGTGTGAGCAGCATGGGCGACCCATCGTGGGGGCTGAGGAAACGGACACCTTCTTCGGTGACTTTGGCGAGTTTGAGGAGCGATACCATCTGGAAACTGGTGTTGGCGTCAGTTATGGTGCGTTCGTTCATCACGTTGGAGGCATGACCCACCCACCACTATCTGCAGGAGTCAGCACTTCCGTCTTTCCATCCCTATACGCTGTGGCATGGTGCACCTGTGAGGATATTGTGTGGCCAGGACTGGAGCTTATGCGCGCCGCCTATGGCATCGAGTGTCGCTTGTCCTGGCTTAAGGCCTCTCCCACATGTCAGCAGTGGCTGGCATGGAGGCAGAACGTCGGCCGTACAGGTGATATGTGTTGTTTAGACATAGTCGGCAGCCCTGGTCTTCGAGTTGGTCGGGCGTGAGGCCTTTGAGCGAGGCCTGCGTCGCAACGGGCATGAAGATGGGGAGGGGTACAGGGCCATGAGGCAGATGCAGCGTTGCCGCGCGTGCTTTGGTGACCTGGGCTTGTCAGGGGATGACCAAGACACGAAACTGACACGATACATACCGAGCACTTTCCCAGCAGCTCAAAGGTGAGGGCCGAAGGCATTGAGACGGGCGCCATGATGCAATTGGAGACGCGACCTGCAGCCGATGAGTCGCTTCAGCTGCAGCCCGTAGTGTTGCGGCCCGTTCGCTTAGCGCGACTTCCCCGTGTTAATCGTCATGCAATCCCAGATCCAGTCTCGGGACCAGCCGAGCGCACCGGAACATAGTGAAGCAGTTGGTAGTGTTCAGAATCACCCCTGGACTTGTTCAGAGAACTCACGCGGTTGACATCAGCAGTGACTGTACGTTCATTCCTCCATAAATCTGTCAAGGCAGGCTAGACTACCCAGCTTTACATTGGAACAAGGGAAGGCCAGACTACAAATAACCAACTCTAGATGAACAACTTCGAGCCTTGATACTTCGTCTTCTCCCTGTACACAGTAGACTTGAGCGAAGCCTCAAGCTCTCGCTTCGGGAAACCTTTGAGAGATCGTGCGTACGTTGCGACAGAGTGCGAGATGAGCTTGGTGTTGACAACCCACGCAGTAACGTTGAGGTTTGAAATATCGTCGCAAAGCTGATGGTAGCAAGGATCATACCAGTCCCCAGCCTTGCCCCCAAACATCTCTACTTCCTTCTCCGTCTTGATACCCTCGGCTCCTGTAGCAATGCCACCACCGGGGATTCCGTTGCGAATGAAGCCGTCGTAATCGCTGCGGCCATCAAAGGGAATGAAAGTGTAGTTCAGACCTTGATCCTCGTACCACTTGATGTACAGATCCCGCAACTCTTCGGAGCCGTTCGGGTTCACCGCGTTTGTAGCATTGTAGATTTGGTAGGCGAAGTTGGGGCTGGTACAAGTTAGTCACATTACATGCGCCACGCGTACGGTGATTTCGCTTACCTAGCCATCATATCGTAATCCATGAAGAGGCGGATCTTCTGGTTCTCCTTCTCGGGCAGAGAGGCGACATAGTAGTTGGATCCGAGTAGGCCTTCCTCCTCACCCGCCCACCATGCAAACCTCACACAGTTGGTAACGTTGAACTTGGTAAGTTGAGTAGCAATTTCGAGCAGCGACATTGTGCCTGTTCCATCATCGTTGATACCAGGCCCTTCGGTGACACTGTCGGAATGGCCGCCGAGCATGACGCAGTTGTCCGGATCGCCAGCCGTTGTCTGCGCAATGATGTTGACCGTCAGAATGGTGTTCACTTCAGCGTCAATGTAGGCGATCGCATCCACGCGCTTTCCCTTTTCGAGCTTCTTCAAAATTGGTTCAGCTTCTTCACCGGACAACCCGAATGTAGCTACATGATCGGGAGACGGCGTTCCGAGGGTGCCCGAAACGCTGTCTTTCTCATAGTTGTAGACAATGGCAGCAGAAGCGCCTTTGCGACCTGCATGCTCGGATTTAGTACCAAAGGGGCAGACTCCACGTTTGATGAATGCGATGTTTCCGGCTACTGAGTCTGGGTAATCCGACGCCTGACAACCGTCATTCTCAACAAAAACGAGGTCGCCGTGTACAGGCTCTTTGTCCTTTGTGGGAGGCGTTAAGCCCATGGGATGGGCAGACTTCGGCACGACATCGCCAATGACAAGACGCGACTCAAAGACATTGCCGGACACAGCTGGGAAGGTTTGATTGGTGATTGTGTAGTAGTCGCCAAGTTGAAGGATAGTTTCATAGATGTAAGACAGCGTTCCGAGGTGGCCTGCGACTTCATCAGCATCAGCGTACAACAAATCACGTGCGCAAACGTACCAGCACTCCCGATGACTCTGGTGGGATGGTTGTATTCCTCTTCACCGAGCTTCGCAATCTCGTACATCTTCTTGGCGCGTGCCATCAATCTGTCCCCACTGATGAGGTCTTGGAGCTCGGTCGAGTTGACCAACGGTTTGGTCCCATGTGGATGTCCGAGTGGCGCTTGATTGCCGGACGACATAAGCGGGATCTGGAGCGCCGTCGCGCTTGTGATGGCTGCGCACAGCGCAAAACCAGAGGAGAAGACCATGTTGTGAGTTACGGAGATGGATGGGTTTGGAGACGAGATGGGATGGAAGAGGGTTGTTTGTGTGTTTATGGATGAGTCGCTGTTGCCATGCCGCTAACACGCGCCTCGCGATAAGGCCTGTCCCGTGCACAGTACCAGGTGACTGCTTTTGCTTGAGCATATGTCAAATACATGATGGCTTTTTGTATGTATTGAAGCCTTGTCAAGCTTTGCGATGTGCAGAGGGAAGATCAAGTCGTGAGGGCATAGTTGCGCATCCAGCCGGCGTTACCATGCTGTTGCTAGTCTCTCATCATATGCAAGGTACAATAGATGCGGACCGCCAGGAACCAATCAAGTCTAGATGAACAACAACTCCCCCATCGCATCATGGAATGTCTGCAGACTGATGTGTGTAAGTACATAGTTTCAACAGCAGTAGACGTTCCTTCCTCTCTAAATCGTCATCAGCAACTTGTCGGCCCTTCTCAACATTGCGATCGATGACGGTTCATGCGGTTGTCAGTAGCCAACGCGTTGGAACCAGCGCTTGTATTCCATGTAGCGCCATCGATGCGAATGACCTCTGGTAGCTCGAAGTGTGTCGGTGTCCATCAAATAGCTCGCATGTGCATTGCGGAGATCGAGACCCTTCCCCTTATTGCTGCTAAACCTGAGATGTGGAGTCTCGGCCCACGTCAATGTGCATGGAGCTGAAACCTTGTTCTGGACTCCGCATCGTAGTGCAGCCAAGGCGTGTCAAGCATTGCCAGGGACGTTGCGCGGTGCTTGGTGACGTGTTCTACTGAAGATAAGCTTAGCTAGACACTGAATTACCATGAATCGGTGCCAAAAAGAACCAATGAAGACCAATTGCCTGCGAACGGCGCGCGCTGCTGCAGAGTTACGGTGTAAACGCGCTGCGACATTTTCGTTGTTTGGCGATCATAGCGTCGAGGCTGTGTGTTGTGGACGCGCCCGCCCCGTTGCGAACTGCACCTCGTAAACAAGGAAGCAGGTAGTATACTACTCGTCCCGAAATGACGCCCGGCCCTTTTACAATGTCTAGTCCCACCGGCCCTCTTGTCTTTCTTTTTCACTTACTCTCTATCAACTCCTCTCCAATTACGGCATTACAAACTGCAACCGCTGCAGGGCAACTCGTTCGCCCGCCCTGAAACCCAAGCCAGTGCATTCAACTCTTGCACTTGGCGCACCCTAAAAACCACCCCTTGGGCAATCTTCGTATACCAAAGCCATGGCGCACCGCTCGAGAAGCTCGCGAGACTACCCCGACGGCTCAAGGCACCGCTCGTCGCGCGACCGAGGATATACCAGCGAGAAGCCACGCTCCGTCCCTCCCTCCGATCGCCGTGACAGGCGCGGCTCGTCTCTGCCACAGTACAACCACAATGGACACAAGGTGACCCCCGGCCTTCACCCCGAGGGCGAGAGTGGCCGCAGGGGTTTCAACCCGATCAAGTTCCTTGTCATCAGCGGCAGGAGTAGCAGCACGATGTCTATGCTAGTGAACTGCCTATGGCCCATTGTACCTGTAGCAATTGCACTGGTAAGCGGCACACAAGAGGATATGTTTCTTGTACTAACCGACTATAACAGCACTTTGCGAGGCCCGAATGGCATCTAGCGATCTTCATTACCAACTACATTGCCATGCTTCCTGCAGCCAACTTACTCGGTTTCGCTGGCCAGGAGTTCTCGCGCAAGATGCCAAACAAGGCCTTTGCTGTCGTTCTCGAGACAACATTCGGTTCCGTTGTCGAAGTTATTCTGTTCATGGTCTTGCTCAAAACCTCCAACGGCGACTCAAACGTGCAGGTTATCAAGGCTGCTATATTGGGGTCTATCTTGGCCAACCTGCTCCTCTGCCTTGGTACCTGGTAAGTGTCTGTTCGATGCTCGATCAAGCACTCACTAATTTGCTCCAGTTTCATTGCCGGTGGTGTCAAGCATGACGTCCAAGAGTTCCATAGTGCTGTCTCTGAGAACGGTAGTGGCTTGATGCTCGTAGCTGCCAGTATGTCGATCCTCCTCTTGGCTCGTCAAAGTACCAATGCTAATCTTTATAGCCGCGCTCGTACTTCCCGCTGTCTTCTACGCATACCTCTTCCAAAACCCCGATTACGAACAGACTGTTGATATCGCCTATAACACTCGACTGATATCCCGCGGTGTCGCCATCATCTCCATCGTTGGCTACCTAGTCTACTTGTATTACCAGACCGTATCCCACGATGGGTTGCTCCATGAGATCTACGAGGCAGACGATCACAAGGACAAGGACCGCCACGAGGAATTGGCTAAGCCCAAGCTTACCCTGACCGAAGTCATCGTTGCTCTTCTCGTCTCACTGGCCTGCGTTGCACTCGTCGCTATCTTCCTCGTCCTCGAAATCCCGCATATAGTAGAGCGAGGAGTTAGTGACTCCTTCGTCGGACTTATCCTTATCCCGCTGGTTGAGAAGATCGCCGAGCACCTCCTCGCCATTGACGAAGCCTATGACAATCAGATCAACATGGCCCTTGCCCATGTTCTCGGTGCCTCTATCCAGACCGCCCTGTTCAACGCACCCCTTGTGGTACTGGTTGGCTGGGGTATTGGTGTCGGCATGGACTACAACTTCGCCATCTTCGACGCTGTTGCCCTGGTTCTGGCGGTCCTGGCGGTTGGCTCGTTCCTCCGCGACAGAAGCTCGAACTACCTGGAGGGTGTGCTCTGCGTGATGACGTACGTCATCATCGCAGTATGTGCGTTCTACTTCCCCAACCCTGCACATCACGGTGCTTCCGGAGGCAGCGCTGAGGGTGGCGCTGAGGGTGGCCACTGAAAGAACCGCTCAGATGGCTGTATCTGTAAAGCCACAGGGCTTACTTAAATTGATATTCACACAGCGGTGGTGTTGTGGAGTTTCGTTGCAAATGGGCTGCGAGGAGGATGGTCGGGTTTTCCTATATGTAGCAAGCATCTGTGATGCATTTCTTTGAACAGTCTTTTTTCCAACAGTTTTAAATAGCGAGCGAGAGATACCAATATGATACACGAGATTGACACTGTTTATCTGCTGAGCAATGTTGGTGATGGCTCCCATGTGCTGCGTTGGCGCCAAACCCTTTGTGACTAGAGTCCTGCGCACGGTCCTCCACACAGATTAGGCGAATAATCGCGCCTGCCCTCCCGACATTTCTACTCTCCAGCGACAATCCAACTAACCCGACAGCCACCGCCCCTTCCCACGACAACCTCTTCTCCCAGCTCACACAACAAGTCGCCAAAATGGGTCGCGTCCGAACTAAGACCGTCAAGAAGTCCGCCAAGGTCATCATCGAGCGTTACTACCCCAAGTTGTCGCTCGACTTCGAGACCAACAAGAGGATCTGTGATGAGATTGCCATCATTGCCTCCAAGAGGCTCCGAAACAAGATTGCCGGATACACCACTCACTTGTACGTGCCGACACTGGGGCTGCGACAATGGCAATGAGGGGCTGGTCCTGGAAGCTTGAGTGGCCTGCGCAGAGGAGCGTTATGCAATGCCTATGCGCAGGCTCTCGGGCACTTCAGAAAATAGCTCTTCAACCGCCCGCACTGCAGCCCCGCTTTGAGCAGCGTGCTCTCTCGCAACGAACATCAAGCTAACAACTCGCAGGATGAAGCGTATCCAGCGTGGTCCCGTCCGTGGTATTTCCTTCAAGCTCCAAGAAGAGGAGCGTGAGCGAAAGGACCAGTACGTCCCCGAGATCTCCGCTCTCGACTTCACCCAGAACAGCGAGTCTGGCTCGCTCGACGTCGACCAGGAGACCAAGGACCTGCTCAAGAGCATGGGCGTACGTTACTCTATAACCATACCACCCCAAGCATCTCACTAACACTTCCGATAGTTCGACAGCATCCCTACCAACGTCATCGCCGTCTCCCAACAACAGATTGTCGAGCGCGGTCCCCGCCGCTTCAACGACCGCCCCGCCCGCTCGTAAATACGAATGCGCACGCGCGACACGATGGTCTCCCTTCTTCCTCCTTTCTCGGCTTACTGAAAATATGGTGTCTGGGAAAGGGTCTCTTCTGCCACGACTATGGCATGGTTTTACGGCTATATACGGCGGCATGATGATCAGGAGTCAATGAAACAAAAGGTTCTCCCCCACTAGGTGTCGCTGAGTCCGAGTGTTGCAAGGCACGAGGATGATGCTTGATTGCCATTTCCCCTGCCCATGCGCCCTGTGTGATGCGATGGTGTTGTGATGACCAACGAAGAATATATAGTTCAGGTTCAGGTAAGTGAATTTCATTACCGGTCTAAACAGCATTACCAAAAGGGAACGGTCCTTCATACGTCTCGTGATGTCAATAGCTTCCCGCTCAGATGAAACAAATCCACGCACTATCTCAACCCATCGCTCAATGCACGTCCTCATGTGTAGTATGTTGTGTTTATCAAGGCTCGATGGATCTAGTCTATACCATGTGGAGCCCAATTTGCTCGATGAAACCATCATTGAACACATCCCTAGAACGTTGCCGACATCACCACACCGTTCAAGGCCAAGCTCCAGTGTACGTTTTCTGTCTGCCAATGCTACTGCCAGCAACGTGGTCGTCATCCAAATCCTTTGCTCTAGCAGTCTCCACGGCTTCCTTTGTGGCATCACTGTTGTTCTTCCGACCGCGACTTGTACCCGCACCCAAGACCGCCTGGTGCAGACTACTCCGCTTGTCCGACTCCGAAGTAACAGGACGCATGGCACTCGCGGAGGACGTCTTTGGCGTAGCTGGTACTGCTCTAATCGTGTTGAAACGATACGTTTCGGGCTCGGGTGTCGCGACCCAAGTTGGACCGGGTCCGTACTCTAGGCTTGGACGTGAATGCTCTTGCTGAGGATGTGAATATTGATTGGAGGTGCGCCTCTGATTGTCCATAAGATGTTGTGGAGGAGGTATCGGGGAACCAGAGCCAGTAGGAGATGACGGCGTTGTTGCTTTGGCTGTGCCATTTTGCTTGCGAAGACGATCAATCGAGTAATAAAGGGCGAACATGATGAGGGATAGTGCGAAGAAGACCCCTATAGCGATGCCAGCTATCTGTGTACTGAAGAGAGTCATGGTAGTCTTCGGTCTGCTGGTTTGTAGAGATAGTTGGGTGGTCTTGGAGAGTCGGAGGTAGGGGTGTGGTAAGTCTTCTGTATGTTGGGGACTATGAACGGGGTTTTATCAGCGGAATGAGGAACAATCTGGGAGTGGGTCACACAAACGCATGTTCATTCTGTTTGTGGATGCTCAATGTGGTAGCCGTCGGGTAGGTGCATGTTACACGTAGACCTTTCGAATGCATCTGGTGAGAGCTGTGGTTTTGGCATGACGCGCACTGTAACATCAAGACTCCTAAGTCCATGGCATTTATGCATTCATGTCATGATCATGATGATATTGGAGCTACCTGCAAGACTTAGCACTTGCGAACCTGGAGAGTACGTACATAGCCCCGCCTTCAACTAGGTCTGCCTGAACAAGCTTTTCACAGCCCTCTTCAACCGGCTCTCTCGCTTCTCTTTCAACTTCAGCCATACATATAGCCCTGGTTTTCCCTTCAGAGACCAGCTCAACTTACCCTTATCATCCCTCCAGTGAACCATCCATCGCTCCTTTTCCAACGAGGGGTTTTCGAGCATCAGCTCCCACCTATAGCTCGACCCGCGAAACGGATACACCAGATGAGGGTAGTGAGCGGGAAGTCGACCACACCCACATACCTTCTCATCATGGAGCCTTTTCAAGCGGAAAGCAATCTTCCGGACGTTACACGTCGTCGTCGGAAATGGTGGGTTAAGGACTGAAGCGCGAAGGCACCAGTGGTTTGCCTGGGCATGCTTTCCATTACACATTCCTGGAGCTATGAGGCAATTCATTGCTGTGACGAGTCCAATGATATTGCTGTATGTTGTTCGGATGCGATAATGGTCGGATGCCACAGAATCGCTTGGAGGATAGAGGGGTGCGGGCATGTCCTGTACTTGGCTCATGTAACGCGCGATTTGTGCCGGATTCAGTGTCTCGACCATCTGCAATACGTCCTCTTCGCCCTCTAGGTCTTCTAATCCGATGGTCAGTCTGGCCAGGTGAAGCTCTAGTACAGGTGCCATGGCTTGCAGAATGCCCATTATAGTGGGCCGATCGAGCATTGCCCAGCGCGGTATTCCGATCGTGAGGTGCATCAGCGAGGCGAAGCTCGTCGGCCGGAGCGGTTGTAGCTTCATTGGCGTTGTGTTGACGGAGAACTGGATCGTGCGTAGGATGGAAGGGGCCAGGCGGACGGCTTCGGAGGTCATCTCGTTGTAGATCTGGGGGCAGGAGAGCATGAGCCCGATGTATGTCTTGTAGGGCGCGTTTGGTAGGAAGCCATCGGGTGCCATGTGGCTGTATATGAGCAAGCGTATCTCCGCTGGTAGTGCAAGCAAGTGGCATGGCGTCGCAGCTGTGGCTTGGGAACGCCTGTCTCGACGTCTGATCAGCTTCATGTTGTATTGGGTCGATGGTGGTGTGCCGTTAACGTAGAAAGTTGAACGAAGTTGCTTGCGAGGCAGGGACTTTTCGCGTGGTGACAAAAGCTAGCTGTGGAAATATCTCTTCGTTGCTACTGTCTCCTTCACTGTCAAACGCCCATCAAAGTAGCGTCTCCCGTGCCTTGAAAGACTTTTGAATGCCATTAATTCGGCGCAAACCAGGTCTCAGCGTCACCATGGATACAAACTCTTGAACAATGTAACGGCACGCTTGATAAAAGGAGGCCCAGTGCTTTCAGCGCCAATTTTGTCATCTAGGTTCTCGCGTATACCCTGAGTGTCCTTCCGGAAAGGATCCCATTGCGATCCAACGGAACCATGATTCTTTCAGGCTATCAGAATAACCGAGATCGCTCCAGAGAAGATGTGTTTTCTAGAAGGCATATGCTGCTGCTGTTCCCAGGAATGTGGCACGTAAGGCAACCAAAGCCGGAAGCGATGACTTCCCTAGATGGCGAAGAGGACCAGCGTACTGTAACCCATACATATTTAAATCAATATTTTCGCAATGATGACATGTAACTCTGGATCGAGACGAGCGTACTGAGCGCAGATGAAATGAGGATGATACTGCAGGAACGCGACAGGAAGGGGTTCGTCCCTCAAGCGCACCCCGGGCGCATACCAACGCGTAGCGATGCGGTGCAGGAACGTATAACGCGTCGCAGCCATTGCTAACAGGATAGGAACTGACAAGATGAAGCACTCAATGGATGTCTTGATGGAAGGTTGTGAGCGGAAGCGCTAACTATGACGTTCACCCGAGGTTCCAAGCTTGTTGGGGCCGAGTCATGTGGGTCACGTGTCTTTCCAATGCTCACCCCGAATTTACTTGGCACGCTAGCGACGCGAGCGTGAATGTTTTTGCCTACCGCCCTCACGCTCCGACAACCCAACCACCCCGCAACCTTTTGACCCGGCCACGAACCTCACCTTCCAACCCCATCGAATTCCATCGAGATCTGTTTCCTTTCTCATCTATACTGATCTACAAGTAGACAATTTACTTCTTTCGGTATATCAGGTCATATATCGCGCTTGGATCACTATGTCACCTGCCGCAATCAGCCAGACCGCTGTTACCTCACCTTCGCCGCCACAACAACCCCACACACCGACTTGTACGTGGGAACTGTGGGAACATCTCTTGACCATGGACTAACGTGCCGTACAGCGAATGCTATACCTGCATCAAAACATTTCGATGACATCTTCCACGCCAAGTTCATGCACATCATCCAAGAATGGAAGAATGATCCATCTCGCGGCCAGCTAACTCAGAAGGATCGAAAGACCTTTATCGAGAATGCCTTCTTTGAGACCGATGAACTGTATTTCGGCCGGCGTATGATGACTGATCTTGAGATCAAGCTTCGCGCCCTTACCAAGGTCTTCTACAAAGTCCTCGCAGAAGAACCCTGGTCCGAGGACTGGATACGCGCTCCTGATGTTGAGCGTAAGCTTTCCAAGTTTGAGATGCACGAAGATTCCGTAGCTCTCGCCAAGGAGTATGGCTTTACCACACCTCGTGAGGCTGTCAAGGCGGCTCGCGAGGCTGGTATCAAGAACGCCGAGACTTACAAAGAGGCTCAAAAGGAAGGCAAAACACTCAAGGACATCAAACTCGATCGGGGCCCGTTCGACGATATTGAGATTGTCTACATCGCCGGCACGGTCTCGTCATCTGCTACAAGCAAGATCGACCGTAGTAGCATCTATCCAGTTTCCGTATCTTCAGTCGCCAATGTCCTTCAGAACCATATCTGTAGGGACATGGTTAGACCGTTCTCAATGGCTGAGCGCTTTGTCAACTGCACCGACACCAAGGAACTAGAAGACATGCGCCGCTTCGCATGTAATGTCTGCGATTTTTGTCCTCATCTTCTCGACAACGACAACGTCAGCCTTCTCGTTGTTCTGCTTATCCTGTCGCGTTCTGACTGCTGTCGTCGCTTTGAGGCCAATGGCATTCGCATTGAAGGTTCCACGATTAGTCACCGCAAGGCTGAGTGCATGAAGAACAAGATGGGCTGGAAGACATCCGAGGACAAGAAACCCTACGACAACTTCGCTCAAGAGTTCCAGACCCGTGTCAAGAATGCTTGCTTCCCAGCTCCCCGAGCTCAGCGCATCGGTGGTCGAAAGCCGCCGCGCAACTCTTCTGGCCCAGCGACTCCTCCAATCTACGCCCAGCCTCATATGGGTTACGTCGCGCCTCCACAGGTTCGCACCGACCACGCAAATACTGGCATCAACGTTCCTGCTCCGTCTGCACAAAACAGTTTCGCGCAACCTGCTGTCCCAACAATCAAGGACCAGCGTGGTCGCGAATCAACTGGTGCCGGTAACAGTGCCGCCGAACCCATGGATCTTTCCTGAATTGTTTAGCGTGTCATCGACGGGCTTTGCAAGCTCATTTTCAAGAATCATTACTGCATGGCTAAGGCGTTCTTTAGGTACCTTGGGGTCTGCATATGGGTTCAAAAACGGCGTTCCATGCATCATGTCCGATTTACCTACGTGGTTGCCATATTCTGCATGCTTCAGTGTACTCATCGTCACTTTCCTGTAAATAGTCATACTGTCAGTATATAGCCATCTAATGCATACATATCTGAATGCAGAATTCAGGTCATACAACCGGGGCATCTTCCAGTAGATGTTCGTGTTTTGAAACAAGCTAGACTGTGGAGTTTGCAAAGGATGTTAATGTGTCATCGTAATGTTGTTTTGATCCGACAACAAGCTGAAGCTATAAGACATCATCGCAACGTCTTGCCAGCATGAAGTGCTGCTTCATCCCAGCTGACTCCACTTGTGGAATCAGCTAGACTGCCAAGCCAAGTGTATTAAACTGACTGCGATGCAGCTCCGACGTCTTTCCGCTCAACAACTCAACAACTCACCCACTAAAGACACCATCATAATGGAGCTCAACAACTTCGAATTCCTAGCCTTCTTCCTTTGCTCAAGCATCTTCGGTCTGCTCTCCGCAGTCTGGACCACAGTACGTAAATTTGAAGCACTACCTCAGCGTCTCATACTAACAGCTCCAGACTGAACTCATCAGCGATCGCGAGATCATTCTCTTGATCGGAGTCTTTGTTGCAGTCGCGATCGCGCTTCTCGCACGTCTGTCCACAAGCAAGGCGCTCACCAAATTCCTCACGATCGACGTTGGCGGGGTGCACGAGAAGCAACTTCGCGATCTCAGTGAAGCCCATCGCCGTCATATCGCGAGCGTAAAGCACGAGAGCAATCGCGAGAACCTTCGCCTTCGCAACGACATCAACTACGCCGCTATGAAGTTCGACCGCCTCTACAACGAGCACGACTACATGTCTAGCATGTACCAGCAGCAGATGCACCACACTCAAGAACAAGACGACCGCATCGAGTACCTCGAGAAGAAGCTTCAAGAGTTCGGCCAGTCTACCCCCGTTACTCGCGCTCCTTTCTCCGCGCCGCACTCTCAGATCAGCTTCTCGCTTCCGCCACGTCGCCAGCGATCCGATGAGGCCTTCAACTACGTTCCTGCGAAGGGCTCGCTGTCTCAGGTTGTTGAGAGCAAGGATGAATAAGATTTGACCCGTGGTCGTCGCTCGTTCGGATTAGCACGGCCAGGTCGCCTGATACATAGCTAGATGATTGGGAACGCGCTGGTGAGACGAGTGCAGGGCGGTCATCGATTTGTATATCCGTACTAGACTAGATCTCATAGGATACCAATGAAATGGGTTTATCTCAAAGCCACAGCTCACTTTCGTGTGAAGCGCAATGTTTTCGACGTGGCAATGCTGTGCCCACAATGCAAGTGACCAAGTCGGGTGTCTCATCTGCGCCATGGAAACACTAGTGTTTGCACAAACCATTCGCGACGCTCGTCCACGTTCAGAACTTATAAGCATGTAATATTTCTTACGACAGCAACTTCTTTAACACAACTAATTCAGTCATGACGGAAGAAGAGAGACGTACGCTCATGAGCGCCGATATTCCCACGATCCAAAAGATACACACTGCCATCGCCGCTATCCAACCAAGCACGGAAATGACGCTCTTTCAACAGCGTAGGCTTCTCTATCTCTGTTTGCGTCTGAAAAGCGAGATAGACATACCTATCGGATGGTGGTTGATTGAAGACGTAGAAAGCCCGATTTCTGATTCCCAAGTCTGGTGCGACGTTGATGCCGAGCTTGGTATACCAGAATCAGAAGATTATCCCTACCAGGTAGCCAGTCAGGACGCAGGGACAGAAGAAGATGGGAATTATCTATCTCGTAGTAGCAGCAGAAGTAGATCGAGAGGAAGAAGAAGGACGATATGAGGCCGTCCAGTGATGTTGCGCAACTACAGAGAGAATGAAAGTAAGCGGTGGCGCGAGATCCATGGGTTGAGTGTGGTTAATGGCTTGAGTATGAATTACGAGTGCCATATGATCATCGAATGAACGGTCAATGAAGAGCCCTGTATTCAACAATTCAGTCACTTACACGCGTTCCTCTCAACTGAAGCCATGCTTTATGCCCAAAGCGATGATTGGCTCACCTATCCAAAGAAGGAGACAGGGATATGAGCTTGAAGACTGACATATGAATTGCGGTGATCAACCACACACGCTTGCTATCTATGATAGACTTTGGTATCCTGATTGTTTTACGTGCCACATCGTGAAGGAACTTGCCCGCAGCAAACAAGTTCAGTATATCAGCGCAAGATGAGAAGCATCAGAGCACCATCAAGATCATTCAGCTCGTCACACCGCTCCATAACATGGCATCAGAGAACCTCAGCTACCCCTCAGAGAAGGCCGCCGTCATCAACAAGCTTTCTCAAGCCATCAAAGCGCTCGACACCAGCGTTCCCGCCTCTTTCCAACAGCATCGCCGCTACTTATACCTGCTTGAGCGCCTCAGAAACGAGATAACCGACCAAGTCAATGAGTGGAAAGGACAAAACCCTGATTCTCCGCCCTACAAGACTTTCAGACTTGGGGTTGACGCCGAGTTAGAAATACCGGTTGATCCTTACCAGGAGACACCACCTCCCAAGGCGGAGCTCTGGACGCCGAACCAATCTTGCCCAGAATGCGGGAAGCCAAGATAGTGCAGGTAAATGTCAAGAAGGTGGCTCAGGGTATTGGGGAAGCAGTAATAGTCACTAGTTGGTAACAATGATGACTATTTCGTGCAATGGTTTCTTGTGATGCCATAATTTTGTCATTTCTAACGAACGCGATACATGCGCAGTGAATCAAGGGTATATGTCTATCGGAGGTACATGAAAGGGTGCCGTATAACAGTGCTGGTGGAAGGGTATCATGAAGAAAGCAGACGCATACTGAACTCCAACAGCAAGAAGAAATAGCAATAAACAGTATAAAACGCGTGATTCGAGACGTACAGAGCGACATAAAGCTCAGTGCTTCCTCTTCGATCCTTTGCGACTCAGACCCGTGCGCGATGCGTACACAGGCGGGTGATCATCCGGACTTTCAGAGTCTGTTGCAAAGGCATCGACATAGCCGCGAGACTGCATGGATGGACGACGACCACTGCTTAGAGGTCGGGCAGATGGAAGTGAAGCCTCGACGGTGCGCAGATCCCATGGGTCTTGTGATGCTGATGATGGCGACATCATTGAAGATGCTGCTGCGAACGGGTTGTCCTGAGCAAAAGATGGACGTCTGGCAGACGGCGGCCGGGCATGATCTTGGTTGAAGTTCGCTGGGAAGGATAGCGGCGGTGGCGCGCGTTTCCTCGAACTGGAAGGCCTGTAAGACTCTGCAGGCGCCTGAGCATCCTGTACTGGTGGGCTTGGCTGCGAGACACTTGGGCGGCGCTTGCTAGGAGTGCGAGTCAATCCAGCGGGACGCGTGTTAGAGGTGAGGCTGTCGTGGCGAGCCATCGAATCTCGGCGGGTGGAGAGGGAACGATCACCGCCACGCGGGTCCCAGTATGCAGCCGGCTTCTCCTGTTGGCTTTTACGAGCTGCCAGCTCCTCCTCTCGCTCCCTGGCCTCTGCAATCTGCCTTTCGCTCCGCATCTGTTGTTCCTCGGCTTTGATCAAGCGCCGTTGATCTGCTAGCTCAGCTGACGTCATAGAGGAGGATTGTCTGCGTGATGCGTTCGGCCGCTTCTTCGTATAGTCGATCGTTGGAGGACTTGACTTCTCCTTCTTACGATCTTGGGCCTTCTTGGCTTCTAAGTCCTTCCTCTCTTGTCTGAGGCGTTCTTCCTCCTTAACACGACGAAGTTCTTCCCTGACCAACGCTCGATCTTTCTCCTTCTCAGCGAAGAGCTTTTCTGCCCTCTCATTCGCGCGGCCGTCTGCACGGGCGGGTTCGAAATGTACGCGTCTGGTAGTATCTTCTCTGTCACGCTCATCAGCCACCCGTCGGTCAGACTCTTCTTGATGCCGACCTGACTTGGACTGCCTTTGTCGCTCGTCGCCAGTCTTGGTGCGACGAGCGCCTTCAGGTGGGCCCGAGCTAGTGTAAGACGAGCTCGAGTGATCAGCAAAGGCGTCGTAGTCGAGTGGATGTGGGCGGTCTGATGTGTACGTCTCTCGTGGAGCAACCCTGGCCGTCCGGTATGGATCAGATGACATACCACCCTGACGCTGAGGCGGCGAGGACGGAACAGCAGTAGGTGGGTTGTGAATCACCGTGGAAGAGCGTTTTGTACTTCGCTGCCTAGCCGGTGGGTCGTACTCTGCGTCCGACGCGACGTAAAGCGAGGGTGTCTGACTGGAAGACGCTGACGGAACATGGCGAGAGCTTTGACCGTATGGTGCAGTAGGAGTCGTAAGGTAGCTGCTGTGATGATCGAAGGACGCTGGTGGAGGCAAGGGGGCTTCCGGGAAACCAGTTCGGTAGGTGTAGGAGGCATCAGAGCCTACTGAATCAACAGCGATATCACGAGATCCAACAGAGCCGAGTGAAGACCGATCGTAGGGCTTGGTAGAGACCGAAAGTAATGGGTATTTCTTGCCTTTGTTATCTTTCTTTGAGCCAACCTGTATGAAGATCTCGCTGCTGATCGGTCGTTGGCCATCCCGAGTTGAGGGACGGCTACCACTGCCAGACGGACGACGTGTTTGAACCAAGTATGTTGAAGTGGTGGGAGTTGGTGGATTCGTCGGAGACGGTGTGCCCATGGAGCCATTTCTAGGAATGTATCGAATGGGCACGACGATTGCGTCTCGGCATGGTCTATCACCACGTGCTTTCGCACAAAGGCAGGCTCGCGTAGAGGTCAGGGGTCGCCCATCAGGGGTGAACTCCTCGCGCTCCTCGATCCGACACATGATGGCGATGTGTAATGGGTTAAGTCGGAGTTGATAGATATCCTAGAGGCGAGGATGATAATAGAACAGCT